TGCAGCAAATGATGCAGCAAATCTGGCTGTGACAGTCCCACCTGATAACGGAGACTTGTGTTACCTCCGAAACGTCGTGATTGTTTTATTTTTTATTAATTTTTATTTCATTTTTTACCTACTTGACTTTACCGAAAGAACTAAGAGTATGAATCCTTGCAGTCACGAAAGCTTCGAATCTAGCATCATCAGGCAGTTCACCCGAATTATGAAAGAGACATCCTGGTCGGGGGTTGACTCAGCCATCGTCTGTCTGTGGACAATTAAAATGATCACCGCCAGGTGGGCAAGTCAACAGTGGTTGTCCTACGGATAGACTCGCCCCCGTTATAAGAATGTGGGATTTCGACCATTTGGGCTGTGCAGGGTTGTAAACGTGAGATGAGCACCAGTGGGTCAGTGCTCACTTGAGAAGCAAATCAAGTTGACCATGCGACAGCAAACGAGATACATTTTCTACGTAGGCTTTCGCGACCAATGTTGCAGTTCATAATTCGTTTATTTTGTGTTGGGTCGTGAAGGTATGAAAGTAATTGATGTATGTTAACTATAACCCTCCACCACTCAACAGAGCCAATCAAATCAAGTTGTCACGTCGTGAGAAAATGTGCCAAGTGGTTTGTTTTTTTTCGGCAAAACTAAACATTGAAGATAATTTTAATCAGTGTCAACAAATATAGTTTGCCAGCAAGATCATATGTCCCGGACCACCAGCTCTCTTCTGACGGGTAGCTCAGACGCTGCGGGCAGTTATAACACATGCCATCCGAGTGTACGATGATGCATACTGTGACAGTGACGGTGACCAGATGTTATCTCCCTTGACGAGTATACAGGAGGTCGTGGGTTCGATCCCAACCTTGACGCCTGCTGTATATTTGGAGTTTTCATGTCTCTCGCGTGGATTTTTCTCCGGGTCCTCTGTTTTTTCCCTCCACATTAAGAATCAACGTCACATGCTTACAGTTTTTGGCTGCTATACATTTCCACGTGATGATAAGCCACTTCGTTGTTGAGCTACCATTTGTGATAGCCAGGCCGCTTCTGAAAAAGAGCTACATCGCTCAGTGGTCCTTACCTGGTAAAATCAAAATAGTTTAGTTTTAGTGTCAGTGGGCACGAACCTCTTCATCATCTTCACCGACCCTTGCCTCCAGAGCGCTGAACCAAAGGTGCATACACAACCACTACATCCACCCATCTATCCTCCTGTGTGCCGTGCCAGCCTCAGCAGATACCAGCTAAAGAATAATAATTATCATTTAAAATTTTAAAGCGCCACCACACAAGTCTTCGCTCGTTCTCCAAGAGAGAGAGAGAGGAAGACTCAGAGGCGCAAGGAGCGGGAAAGACAGCGGCCACGTTGTGAGCTGGTGCAAAATTCAGATTCATTTCAGTTTCATTTATTCGGTATAACCCAGTGAGCCATGCGGCTCTTGACTCGGGTGCAACCGCCACAAAACAAAAAACACGAACAAGAAACATCTTAAAGTGACTACACGCAACAGAAAAATCCAGGAAAAAACAGCAAAGTCTTCCAGAAAAAACACTGTATTTCAACGCTGTGTGCAAAAATCCCAGTGGGATGCAAGTCAAACAATAACAACCATAAGACAATGTAGATTAAAGTTATCAGGCTAACTCTGTACTACAACACACAAACATGGCTAAACCAAAACGTTTTCAAAATCACCAAAATAAAGCTATAAAAACAATGTAACAGTGATCATATGAACTGTGATTCCCCCCACAAAGCTAAGCGGTTCTCTATATATGAACTCTTTCCCATTCAGATGACGTAGTGCACATACGTGTACGTCATCAGTTTTTTCCCCTGATTACGTTCCGATTATGTACACGTACGTGACGTACACGTACGTCATTGGAACAGAATCAGGCGAAAAACTAAAAAAAATCACTTTATCGGTACGTCTTCAGGTCGTCTTCAGGTCGGAAGACGTACCGAGACTCCCACAAGGCCATGCGGGAGGGCGTGTGGCACAGTTTGGCGCCAGCTACCGTAGAGTGCGGTATAGTCGCTACGGTTGCCTGTGGTGAGTACAATGTCTTAAAAAATTGCGGTGCTACGCCTCTTTAATAAAATTTACAATAATCGCCGCTTGCGGGTTCTGAGATTCAACGGTGAACGGGACCCACCCTGCAACTTGTTGGATGCATGGTCTTGGACGCCCATCCAAAGAACTATTCAGGCTCAGACCTGCTTAGCTTCCGAGATCTGTCGAGATTTGGTCATTGGCTTAGGAAATAATCAAGGTCTCTAATCATTAAATTAATTAAGAATCCATTCACAAACATACCTTACACATCAACGTGTCCCATACGCAATTAACCAAGGTCTGCAAAGGGTTTGACTTTGCTTATCAGCAAACTTTTATATGTGTTTATTGTAGTTGCTCAACAGGCCTAACTCAGTAAACATGGATCCGATGGGCCAACGTTGGTCCAACAGTTCCAACCACCTGCCAACATTGGCATATTTACTGAGAAAGGGCGAATATGTAAAGCAGTCGTCCAGCTGTCTCATCGGTAACAACAAGGGAGTTGAACCAAACTGAAAACCATAATCGATAATCAGAAATTAACAATTTGTTAAAGTGTTCGAACCGTACACTGAAGATCCGAACTGAATTTAAATTTTATACCCAGAAACGAAAAACCATTACGCCAGATTTGGGTGAATAATGTTTTGAGGCATACTTACAGTCATGTCTCATCTGTCAACAGTTGTCTTATCAGCTGTGGCCGTACATCATGCATGACCCCTTCCACATCCGAATATCAAGAGTGCACTTTGCAGCAGTCGCTCAATGAAGAGCGCATTTAACCTTCGGATGCACACAATAGCAGGAAAAACACAAAAGAAAGATGCGATTATTGTTTGCACTTCGACAAGCTAATGGGCTGCATTGTGCGGAAGTGGGGACTCCACATATATGGTTTCCGGAGGCCACCTTTCCAGCAGTGGGCATCGGTGACAATACTCTGCCAATGAGTCCTGATAAGGATTAAACTGGTCCATAGTTGTCTATCTGCGCGTCACTGCTGCCCTTCAGTCGGTCACGTGTGCTCAATTTAATTTTGGTGGTGACCTAAGAGGACCACAATGGCAGAGGTTAAAGGTCCTCTCTTTAAAATATGGGGGAGGGGATCCAAGTTCGATGCAAAAATACTGTGATACATAACGCAAAAGAATCAAGTAACAAAATTGGTGGTTGTGTAAAATTGGTGGAAGTGTTAAAGATTTTTTTCTAAATGTATGTGGAGAGACATATCAGAATCAGAATATGTATTTAAACCGGAGGAATCCGATGAGCAATAAAGCAATTATTTTCACAGAGGTCCAGAAGTTAGTATATACCTTATATGGAGACATTTTCTGCTGATTTATTTGGGCCACTCGTTCCTGCGTCCACCCCTTTTTAGAAATCACCTGCCGTGAAGTTCGGGTCAGAGGTTGTTTAGGGTTGTCTTCCACTTCGATGAGGGCGCGAGCTCTAGGAAACCACATCTCCTGGGAGCGGAAGCAGCAGGAGGAGGCCAACGTCGCTGGTGCAGACATTGAGAAGCGGCGGAGAGAGCACGGGGCCCTGCGATTGAGCTAATCGTTTAGGACTCGGGGTGGGGGTGGTGGGACGAACAGACTTGGCCGCATAGGTTTGACCCCACGTCCCGTACTTGTTGAGCATCGCCCATCGTGGAGGCTCAGGATCCTCGCCAGCTTCAGCATCAGGGCTTGTAATCGCAGATGACACGTTGGTAAATACAGCACTGGGCTTTAACAACCTTCTTTGGAATCCCAGCGGTGATGTTTTTTGTTGTTTTTGTTTTACTGTGATGGCCAATACATGATCGCAACGGGTGCTGTGTTGTCTTGTGGCTTTGGGCACTGTAAACTACACAACTAAACAACTTTCATTTTGCCAGGTAAGGCCCACTGAGCTATATATCTCTTTTTCTGAAGCGACCTGGCCACAAATGATAGCATAATGAAGTGGCTTATCACGTGTAAATTTACATCAACCAAATACTCTAAACGCGTGATGTGGATTCTAAATGTTGGAGGGAAAACCCGGAGGACCCGGAAAAAAATCCACTCGACCACGGTGAGAGACACACGCAAACTACAAATATAGACAGCAGCAGGCGTCAGGGTCGAGATCGAACCCACGACCTCCTTGAATACCAGGCGAGGTAGTTAACATCTCCTAGCCACCGTGATGATGATGATGAGAGAGACACGTAAACTCCAAATATACAGCAGCAGGTGACAGGGTCAAGATCGAACCCACGACCTCCTGTATACCAGGCGAGGGAGTTAACATCTCCTAGCCACCGTGGCGCCCCCTATTCGCTGGAGGGTCTGGCACTCGGGCAGTTTGAAGGCCGTACACAGAAGTGATGTCGGCCGGCGGCATTCCAGGGTCATGACCTGGTTTCCCCAGTTTCGGTCGGGCAACAACGGCAGTGGCAGACAAGGAATGGGACGCATCCAGGAGCACGCACACTGAGAAGACGGAGCACTGAGATCATTTCATGTGCAGGTGCACATGGGTCGATAGTCACATCGCAGGATCAAAGGTAGCGGCGGCTTGGGGAAGCCTTCAGCCAGTGCCACTGCTGCTGATGTTGATGATATCGTAGTGTATTTCTAGAACTGCGGAAAAACCATCGTGCTTTGCGAGAGGTGGCTGTCCGAATGAAACCGAGTCATGGCGAATGCAAATTCTGCTGCGCTCAATATTCATGACTCTGCAATAATTATGCAACGAGCCGGGCCGATCGCAATCTACGGAATGTTCTTGCTCACCAGGTTTGTTCACGCACTCCGCATTCAGGAAGGATCAAGGGGTCCCAAAAAAAATCTCAAATTTCTCACCTTGGCCGTGCACACCCCCACCCCAAGGCCCCCACCACCTCCCACCGCGAGCTTTGCCACCCCCTCACCACCATCTCCACCCACTCCTTCCTCCTTACCCAAACCAGCGCACCTTTTTACCTGCTGCGCCAAGACTGCGTTTAAACGAAGGTGCGTGGGTATAAATAGGGCACGCCTGGCACAGGATCTATGCACCTCTTCGGTGTTCAACATCGCTGGCGAAGCATGGCACGTCACTCGATGCTGGTCCTTCTGGGGCTCAGCCAGTTTTACGTGTTCGCGTTGGTTGGTAAGTGTGCACATGCATGTGTGTGTGTGCATGTGTGTGTGTGCACATGTGTGTGTATGCATGTGTGTGTGTGCACATGTGTATGTGTGCACATGTGTACACGTATGTGGGGGAGCGGTGACGCAGCGGTTAGCGCGCTACGAACCCGGCAATTCTTGCTCACAGTAAACACCAGTGACGATTATCTGATCCGGTTCTGGGCCTCCCCTAGGTCGGCTCAGCCTCAAATTTGTACAATATCCATTGCAGTGCGCAAACATCGCCACTTGAGAGACAAAGGCGGCCGGGCGTGGTGCTGGCCACCCACCCCCTCGTGTGCCATGCCGGCCTTCGTAGGTGCTCGCTAACAGCACTTGCCCCAACGGTCTGTTCAGGCTTCCCGGGGGGATCTTTCTCTTTGTACATGCATGTGTGCATGCACGTGTGGGGGGAAAACATTTGAAGTTTGATGGGGATCAGAAGTCACGGGAACGTGTCGAGTAGGTAAGGGGTCTTAGAAGAATATTCATTCAGGGGATAGCGTCCTCACTTTAAAGTTCTCAAATTAACTTGGATGACATTGTCTATGTGTTCAATATGAACCTGTACCATACGTGTGTGCATATCTATATCACTTGCAGAAATGGGATGAAATACAAATTCGATATATTGCGATCAATTAACCTTGTCCCGTGTAATTTTCGATACAAATTATGCAAATGAATTTGAACTGCAAAATGTAGATACCCAGCGACAATTTATCAATCGAATTAAAGTGCGTATTTAAATTAAATTAAAGTCACTCTTTGGTTATTTCGGTAAAGTCAAGTAGGTATAAAATAAATAAATCACAACGTTTCGGGCGCAACACAAGCGTCCGTCATCAGGTGGGACAACCACAGCAAGAAACAATTGCTGAAATTTCTTGCTGTGGTTGTCCCACCTGATGACGGACACTTGTGTTGCCTCCGAAACGTCGTGATTTATTATTTTATTTTATTTCCATTATTACTTTTATTAACTTTTAATTTTGTTTTTTACCTACGTGACTTTACCGAAAAAAACTAAGAGTACTTGTGTTGCGCCCGAAACGTCGTGAATTATTTATTTTATTCTATACCTACGTGAATTTACCGAAAGAACCAAAGAGTATGGATCCCTGTAGTCACGAAAACTTCAAAATCTACATTAAAGTTATATACTGCCCATCTCTCGTCATGTGGCAGACATTATGTACAACAAAGCACATTTGATCAAATTCCGCGTTGAGTGGTGAATTGGAGCAAGGTCATACCTGGGGTGAATATAAGACATTGGCCATGGAATACATGAGCCCTGCATTGTACTGAGTTTGGTCGCCATCAGCTGAGCAATGATGACGGTGAAGATAGTGATGATGATGATGATAAGGCGGTGAAGGCAGGATGGTGAGGGTAGGGCGGTGAGGATAAGGCGGTGAGGGTAGGGCGATGAGGGTAAGGCGGCAAGGATATAGGGCGGTGAGGGCAGTGAGGGCAGTGAGGGTAAGGCGGTGAGGATAGGGCGGTGAGGGTAGCTCGTTCGCCACTAGTTGCAGAGATTCATGATTCGAATTCAGCGGCCGCCTCGACTCACAGCGTATTAGCCGTAAAATGACTACGCGCAGTCCGCTTCGCTCATGGTGGACGTTAAAGATCCCCTGACGTCATTCACGAGAGTGGACCATTTTGTGCCACCGGTGTAAGTCATGGTCCACCTTCACCAAATTTTAAATATGACCAACAAATCACTGAATTGTAATTATTGCCCCTACTGTGAAACACTTGGCAGTCGAAAGAGTTGTAAGACTATTACTACAATCATAGTAATATTCTTTCAAGTGAACCTGACTCTGTTGATGAGACACTGGCTGTCAAGGTTTGTATTGAACTAATGCTGTTGATGATAAGGCCGTGCAGAGCAGATGGGTTGTGAAGAAAATACTTTTACTTTGTATGCGTGGAGACAAACATGGGAAGGGGGCATCATTTACGTTGTCGTTAATATTAACCACAACTAGGCTCAATAATATGTTTTTGCCTAAAAAGAATAAATAACTTACAACCCTTTTCAATTTACTGATGGACGAGGGCCTTCCCCACGCTGTGTCAGTCATCAGGGTTGTTTGACCATACTTCACCTCGCTGGTAAGTGCAGGTTTGTGAAAAAGGTACACAGGACTGGTTCAGATATTATTTGCCGCTGATGCTGGCCGTGGCAGAGAAAGTAACATTATATGCGTGTGCGTGTGTTTTCTCCACAACATTTGCATAAATCGGTGTGAAATCGCTGCCATGGTCGCGTGGATTTTTTCTCTGGGTCCTCCGGTTTATCCTTCCACAATTAGAAAATGCGTTTTGAGTATTTGGCTGTTATAAATGTCCACATAAGCCACGAACCCGCAGCTTTAACCTGGTTTATAGTTTATATATATATTTAAAAAAGTTGTATCTTTCATAGGATTGCATTCTTGCGTGACTGATGATATGTGACATAAGTGGTCATCAATCGCTAACCACCCCCACTCACCGCTTGTTCCACTTGCTCAGGTGGATCTATTGTGATGGATGACCTGTACACGACCATTCAACCTTCAACCGGAATCTACGACGATTTCGACCATGGAGGTAAATGCAGTGTGTGATAGTAGTTGATAAAGGGTGGCAGTGTGGTGATGGTCACTAATGTAGGTGAATCCGGGACGCGACATTTCAATAAATATGCCAACCGTTGGCCCAATGTGGTTGGAACCGTTGACCCAATGTTGTAGAAACGCGCGTTTAGAGTATGTGGCTGCTATACATTTCCACACGACAAGCCACGTCGTTGAGCCAGCATTTGTGGTCAGTTCGCTTCTGAATAAGTAATATTAATAAAACACTTTTTTTAAACACGCTTTCATGAAATGTACTAGTAATGGAAAAACTCCGTGACTCCAGGAAGTGGCCCCGAAGCTTGCCATAACGTGACAATGGCCAATTACAGCCAACGTCAGTTGATCGTGGACAATTAGAGCCAAGCCGAAACATAACATATAAAAAAGATTGTTTAAAAAAAAATATATTTTTTTATGATAGAATATAGTATTGTCATCAGTATGACATAAGTATACCAAGTTTGCAGTCGATACCACATTGGGAAGTTGGTTAAAATTGAGTTACAAGATTTGAGGATACAATGACAACAACAGACAGAGTTAATAGAAAGCGTGTAATAAAAAAAGAGCTACTACATAGCTCAGCGGGCCTAACCTGGTAAAATTAAAATTTTTATAATTGACAACTGAAAGTAGCCACAGTCAACTCAACTTAAGTCACAACTGCCAACTCAAAGTGACAGTAGCAACTGCCAACTCAGCTGCACAGTAGCAACTGCCAACTCAACTTAACAGTAGCAACTGCCACCTCAATGTAACAGTAGCAATTGCCACCTCAATGTAACAGTAGCAACTGCCACCTCAACTTAACAGTAGCAACTGCCACGTCAACGTGACAGTACCAACTGCCACCTTAACGTGACAGTAGCAACTGCCACCTCAACGTGACAGTAGCAACTGCCACCTCAACGTGACAGTAGCAACTGCCACCTCAACGTGACAGTAGCAACTGCCACCTCAACGTGACAGTAGCTACTGCCACCTTAACGTGACAGTCGCAACTGCCACCTCAACGTGACAGTCGCAACTGCCACTTCAACGTGACAGTACCAACTGCCACCTTAACGTGACAGTAGCAACTGCCACCTCAACGTGACAGTAGCAACTGCCACCTCAACTTGACAGTAGCAACTGCCACCTCAACTTGACAGTAGCAACTGCCACCTCAACGTGACAGTAGCAACTGCCACCTTAACGTGACAGTAGCAACTGCCACTTCAACGTGACAGTACCAACTGCCACTTCAACGTGACAGTAGCAACTACCACCTCAACGTGACAGTCGCAACTGCCACCTCAACGTGACAGTAGCAACTGCCACCTCAACGTGACAGTAGCAACTGCCACTTCAACGTGACAGTAGCAACTGCCACCTCAACGTGACAGTAGCAACTGCCACCCTGTGTGGCGATCTCAGGACCCGGGTTGTTAAGCAAATCGCCACAGTCCCCAGGGCGTGCGAGCCCGCGTCGTCTCTATCAACAAATCGCCACAGTCCCCACGTCTCGCGGGCATCTTCTCGATATGCAAATGAGCCCTCAAGTCGGCTTCCCGCGCTTTTGTTTGCCTCAGGGAATTCATATTACAGTTGGGCTGAGGTAATTGCCTGCGTACTTTTTGTATTAATGCAATGTTAATGTAATAATAATGTAATATATTACATTATTATTACATTAAAATTGCAATGCACATACGATTATACATATATCATTTGTAACGAATACAGCAGCTATGTTTTTAGCATGTTTATGTAAAGTGTGACCAAAATACTTTTCAATATAATGTAACGCTGCGATTATGCCATGTATTAATACTGTGGCAATGCCATGCATGTTGCATGTAATGCTGAGGTAAAATACCATCTAATGTAATATCAGTATGTTGTGTAATTTAGTGTATTTTATATAACGTACTAGTTCATGAAGCCTGCCTTCCCCAGGCAAAAGTATTCAATAAATAAAATTAACCAGATTTTTTTACAATTTTTATCTACGATCAGACACTAACTACAAAATTTGTATTCGCAAAAAACACAAATTTACTTGATTCTACTTCTTACATTTAAATAAGTACCCATCGGAAACCGCTCATTTTAAGTATTCCGTTTTTTATTATTATAAAGAACAAAAATGTATGAAGATAACACTATGAGGGGAAGCTCCCCTTATCTTTTACTGTTTATGAATTATTAATATTTGAACACCATAAAATACGTATTTTTTTCGTTAAAACACGCTTGAATCCGAAATATCTCAAAAACAAAATATAGAAAAATGCTTCTCGCTTTAATTGTACAGTATTTGCTGTTTAACGCTCTATCCAACGAAAAAAACGCAATATTATATATTTAAGATTGTTAAGCTTTCTACCTTGTCGAGAAGTACCCTGGAGGTTTTTGAGACATACAGATTAGGGTCTTAATTTATATAAATACTATTTCGTGTAAGAATCCAATTCTGTACCTATGTCATTTAATGTAAAATGTAACACCACTACAGTACTGTACAATGCCATGTAACGCTGAGGTAAATTCTCATGAAGGATAATACTCTACAACGCTATTGTCATTTAATGTAATCATTTAAAATATGTTGTGATCCCATTCTGATGTAATACTAAAGTAAAATAATTAACGGTTAGATTATTAAATGTGATCCGGATGCGGTAATAGACTGTAACAGAACAGTCTATGATGCGCAGCTAAACAATAGTAAATAGTTATACAAAATGCATTATGAATACATATATATAGGTGTAGTGGTTTAGTGCAACTTCCTGAGTGACATTCATAGCTATGACGAATATTGTGTGAAATCTGAACTGATCCTGACCACCCACTCTTCACCATTGACCAGAGTGGTGAAGTATGGTCTAATAACGTTAATGACTGACATAGCATGGATAAAGTTCATCCAGGAGCACAGTTTAAAAAGGGCTTTACATTGTAATGTTTATATTACTGTCTGCTACTTTCCATCGAAACAGACACCGCTTGAATTAGGCAAATATACTGACAATACGAGTTTTTTTCTTAACATTAATCCACTTAAAAATAACACGGAAACTATTTAAAGTAGATACCTTGAAAATACAATAAGCGTTTTCACTCTTCCCCCCCCCCCGATAACTTGTTCTGCCAGTTGGTAAATGTATGATTCTACGTTACTATACAACTCTAGTATCTTTGCACAGAAACACTTCCTCAAGGCTGCACACACGCTTGAGTTGGCGATGAGCTATAGGGGGTACAAGCGGGCATGCATGATTGCCCTCTTGTGATGCGGAGAACATTCCACTTCAACAGTTTCACAACAAACAATCCACACCTTTTCCCCTGACCGCCATCAGTTACGCAAGCATTTCGACCAGAAATATCTTGCTCTCCTAAACTAAACTTTTATTTTACTAGGTAAAGCCTACTGAGCTCTACGCTGGATACTGTTTAAAATTGTCTGAAAATGTAAAAAACGTACATAGCAAATATATGGCTAAATGTATGTACAGCTATATACGTGATGGTTGCATGTATGTTGAACTTCTTTTGAACCGTACGTAGTCAACTGTGCTAATCGAAGGTTGCCCTCAGTGTAAGACTCCTTGCTAGGTTTTACCCACTGTTCATGGGCACATAATGTTTATGTTGAATGCAAATTTAACTTGAAACGGCTCCGATGGAAATGCCGATACCACTATCTTATTCGGAAATCTTGACTAGCTTACAAGTCATTGCTTTACAAAGACAATAGTTTTCAGAGCTTTCATGAAATCTCGCAATGCAAATAATTGTGTGAAGCTGCAGGATACGTGTTTAAATTCTTGTTGAGCAACAGTGATATAATTGACTTTATTGGTGGCTCAGCGGTAGAGTAGAGTGACTTGCAATCAATCAGAAGGTTGCGGGTTGATTCAGCCCATCATCCCAACTCAAATCGATAAATAAAATGAAGTACCTCTTTGTGGGGAAGTCATCAGTGGTTATCCTATGGATGGACTTTCCCATGCAATAGGAATGTGTCATTTCCACAACCGGATCTGTGCTGTAAACAGGAGATGAGCATAAATACATTGTAAACATGTATTTATAACATTTTTCCTTGATGAGAGTGTGTAATGTTACCACATGCTTAGCATATGGTGGACTGATGCGTCCAAGGGCACGGGTTCACCGATCACATCAGTATAACTTGTGCGCTGCTAGTGCTGACCCTTTTGCCCTCTCTCACTGAGTCCAGCTTCTAGATGTATTTTTATATATTTTTCCGCAGAGAGTATTTTTGATTATTGCACCAAATTCCTGACATTTAGGATCGGAAATAAGTAGAATGAGGTCAAAATCCCAATTTAATTATGGTACTTGAGATTTCACTTTAATACGGTGCGACTGATACCCATATTCAAATCCAGGCACTTAGCAGTGCCGATTTAATGTCTGTGATAACCCGTTGCCGACAGTTCTCGGTTTGGCCGTTTCGCCCACAGATGACACTATATGCAGCGTGTGGGGAACCGGCCACCTTCTCACATTCGACCATGCTTCCATGGACCTGCCGCTGTCCTCATGTTCTCTGAGCCTGGTGTCCATCACCGGTTCCCCGTCATTGTCCGTGAGCTTCCAGAGAAGTGCTTTGGACAGAATGAGTGTGGAGAATGTGGTGGTGACCATGGAGGGCATATCCTTGACCCTGACAAGAGAGGGCCAAAGCATTAGCGGCCAGAGGTAAGTTATTTTGTTCTTCATTGTTGAGTTCTTCCCCACAGGGTGATTCTGCCTGCGGCAGTCAAAAGTGCACAGCTATTCCAGTGATTTAGAGGAAGAGGGTGATGGATCACAGTATATTTCCCAAACCCTCCTGCTTTCATTCACTGTTTTATTGGTGTTGCAATACAGTCACATTTAGATGTTATATAAATCCAAATTATATTTTATAGTGACCCACAGACTCACAAAGAGACCCGCAGATTCTCAGAGATCATCGACTCAATAAATATGCCCACTGTTTCTGTCCAACGTTTTGAGATCCAGTCGCATATCGACGCTATATAAATCCAAATTGTATCGTCATGTATATATTGCATTGTAACCCTGACCGCCAATCAAAGACACATGGCCGTGTCACTTGTTTCTTCCAGGGTGCAGCTGCCGTACAAAGACCACAGCATCCAGATTGAGATGGTGGGATCCTACATCAAGTGCTCCTCCATAATGGGCTTCTCTCTGCTGTGGGACCAGAACAATGCCATCACGGTGAGCAGTGTTGAGACTGAATCGTGTGGGGGCGAGGGTATCTAGGGTATCCATCTTTGACTTGATGGCATAATGCCTCTGTTGATCGGAAGAGTTTCAAAAGGGTGTGATGCCAATGCTAGGATTGTGATTTTCTTGGTAATTAAAATGTACCTTGCATGAATAATGTACGATTATTAAACTGTGTTTTTCTTTCTCTGTAGGTTAAACTTGACCCCAAATTCCACACCAAAACTACCGGGCTGTGTGGAGATTTTAACGGCATTGCAGATGATTTCTATTTTAATGGTGAGAGCCGGTGTCAAGTGAATGAAAATTAATAGTTTTTATATATAGTGTCCTATATTCTGGACATGTCATAATGCTGTACATCACATCTCATGTCAATAATTTGACATGATGCCGTTACACAACGGCCTATTCTTGTGAATGACGAGACGGCATGCTTAACGTCCATTGTGAATCCGATGTCGCATAGTATGTCTATGATCAATGCACCCGCAGTCTTAATCAGGGCAGCTGCTGGATTATAACTGTGTACTTCTGCAGCAAGTGGTGAACACCTTACCGCTAAGTAATGTCACCACCCAGTTGTATTTGCTTCCTTTGACCTGTATTTGGGACACATTCACACTGGTAAAGACTTGCACAAGATAATTACATTTGAACCGTAATGATGTGGCCGTGTTGCTAAGTGAGCTCAGAGTTCCGAGCAGCTGACACCAGTGTCATCCTGGGTTCAAAATTAGGTTTCATCCAGCCATGATTAAACGAGGTTCTGCAGTGAGTTGTTAGTGTGAGCCCAGTATACATTGAACAATGAACTGTGATGGTTGAATTCGATTTTTCAATCTATGTTGGATCATTCCAACTTTAACAATTAAACATCTTAGTTCTATTGACATGCGATTAGCCTACTCTTAGACACCTTCCCTCCCTTGGCTGCTACACATCTGTTATTCTTCACCACTGGACATAATTTTTAACGAGATGTCCTGTCCACGGCAGTTACTTTTGTTAACAGACATTACCTTGTAACTTCTCTAATCCATGACCTTTTCCTGTTTTTCAGTGTAATTCCAAGGATACAATGCATTAATCTTCTTTGCACATTCTTCATTTTTTTAAATTTTCTTTGTCGATGTTCATGTTTCTAATTCATCAGTTTGAGGCAGAATAAACTTTTTCATTTCGTGCTCTTCTTTGTTAAGTCTTTTATCGGAGTGAGGAGGAAATCTGTGATCACAGGTGTTTCTGAGAGGGAATTCTACCGCTGGCCTCCAGTGTCAGGTGCTAACTTTTATCTTTTACCGTTTGTGATGTGCTGCAGGTGATCTGCGTTCAGAGAGTGATTACACGCTGATGAATAAGCTAAACAGCTTGGAATTGTGTTCCCAAGAGCCACAGCAAACTAACTCACATTTCTCAAGCAAATACTGTCAGAACAAGGTACTGTATATGCTGAACTCGGTTTACCCAGGCTCTAGCGATTGACTCGAGCGACAATAAGTAATGAGATCTTACCTTCAAATCACAGCTACCCGTCCAAGATTAAACTAGAGTTTTGTGCGAAGTGCGTTTTATGGTCTCAGACTTTAATCTGTAACATTCCGAGAGGGAGCTCTGCCACAGCACATCATCTAATAATTTGGATATTAAATAATTATTTTCAGCCCTCTGTCAATCTACTGCTGGATGAAGGCCATGTCTATCATGGAGCATGTTTAACATTGCTTTACCATGCTGATCAGTACATGCTGGTAACATGGTGAGGGCCCGAGGACCGTTTCAAATAACATTTGGCAGTTATGTTGGCCATTGCTGGGAATCAAACTCAGCTTAGTTTATAGTGGAATAGATGATACACTGTTCTATCGATCCACCCATAAACAAGTAAGAAAACGAATGTGCATTCATGGATTCTCTAACCATTTCCAATTTGCGTTTGTCCTTGGAATGTTTTAATCAGTGATCATAGTATAATTTAAATCCACACAACGAGATAACATGATGTGTAATGTCATAAGATGATGTCACGTAATGAATCGTGGGGAAGCGATGCGCGTGCATAGTGTGTGATATCAACTTCGCCAACAAGGCTTATTCATTTAGCACTGGCTTTAGTTGCCATGTTATTGTGAATTTTCCGTTACAGATTGAGAGATGGACAGAGCTAAATCACGAACCCTTTAAGCCTCAGTTGGAAATTGTTAAAATAATAGAAATAAGATTGCTAATGTACGCCTCTCTTTCTCCTGTTCCAGACACGACACATTGTGCACCTGTTGCGAGACGAGCTTCTTTCCTGCTTGAGCGTCATGAACCATCAACTGAAGTCTTTGCTGATTCATATTTTGCTGTCGGACATTTGCCGTTTGGACTGCAACGGCACTGCTGGGCTCTACCCTTGTGATGGTTGTGCGACGATCGCCGAGTTTTCTCGACGGTGCACGCAGGCTAATGGATCGCCGGGCACGTGGCGTTCTGCAGAATTCTGCGGTGAGATGGGGAGAATGGTGCTGTGGTGTTGGGTTAAATGGTGTTGTGGTGTACAGGTAAGATGGCAGAGAGCAGTGGTGCAGTACAGAGTAAGATCAGGAGAGAGCGATGGTGCAGTGTGCGGTGAGATCGGATCGGGAGAGACCGGTGGTGTGGAGTGTGTTGGTGAGATGGGAGAGAAAGGTGCTCGCTAACAGCTCTTGCCATTACGGTCTATAAGGCCACGCGGAGAATCTTTACCTTTTGTGCGTGTAACTGACACCTTCTCACTCAGGTGTGACTTGCCCGAGAGGTCAGGTGCACAGGGAGTGTGGATCGGTGTGCAAAGACACCTGCTCAAACCCCTCCGCCTCCGTCAACTGCCCAAGTACCTGTGTGGATGGCTGCTTCTGCCCTGAAGGTATAAACAGTGAATCAATAGATGTCATTTTCTATTCTTTACCGAGCATTGAGGGTTCTATGGTGGGGGGCTTGCGGGAAACATGCCCCCGAAGGTACAGCAATGCATCCTATATTGTGTCCCCCTCTATTCAGAAGCAGCTCCTTGAGATGACTGAAGAGAGCATTCATGTTCATGTGAAAGAAGTCATAACGGCCAGTGCCACTTCATATCTCTTCTGAGGATCCAAATTTGCCAAATTCGAAAAATCCCCGCATATAACTCAATTGAGTTTATACATAGCAATCATCGTACTACTGGTTGACTAGTGCCCCAGGTCACTCTTGCAAATACGACTACCTTGGTCCAAGTAAAATTCACTTTAATATATTGATCTCCTATCTCTCGCTATCCAACCTTTACATATGGATAAACTAGATTTCTCTCCTTACCATCTCTCTTGTGGTGTTTGGGAACTGCAGGTATGGTGTGGGACGATGTGAGTGGGTCGGGCTGCATCCCTCAAAGCAATTGTGGGTGCAACCAACTCGGCCACTCCTATGCCAGTGGAGAATCGCTCATCACAGGCTGCAAAAACTGGTGAGACGCAATAGCTTATTATTAGGGATGCTGAAATGTTATTTTTCATGATATGATTTTATGTCATTGTTAATGATTTGACGATTTATCATCGTATTCCCATATTGCAGCAACCCTACCTATTGGTACAGCGGTTCACAAAATGTGGTACGCAAATAGTAGTTTGCAAGTCACATACCAAATATTCATAATACTTGTGTGTACTATATACTCTTTGGTTATTTCAGTAAAGTCACGTAGGTAGAAAAATAAAATATAATAAAAAATTATATATCACGACGTTTCGATCGCAACACAAGCGGTCGTCCTCAGGCAGAAAAAATAATCCAGCAGTGGAACTGCTGAACCAGGAAAAACACTGCCGTCAGGAAAGCTTCAAATCAAGATTGTTTACTATATATCATTGTTTGTACCCAGGTATTATGCATCCCTTTGGAGTCGGGCTGGCCGTAGATGCGTATGTGCATGTATCCATGTACCAATGTATCTACAGAATTTTGTATGATGACTATTCAAGTTTATATCTGACCAGCTAGTTGTGCCTCAGGCTTGTTCCATCTGGGCTAGCCCTCTAGCTGCTACCGTAGGCACACACCAGGCTCAACATCCCTGGTGAGTCGGTACAGTCAGCAGCTGACAACACACCAGGCTCAACATCCCTGGTGAGTCGGTACAGTCAGCAGCTGACAACACACCAGGCTCAACATCCCTGGTGAGTCGGTACAGTCAGCAGCTGCCAACGCCGAACCCCGGGCGGCGGTTAACTAACCCGGAAAACTCAGCTTGTCTGAGCCTGGGCATGTGGAACCCCCGGTGGAGGAAATTCCACCAAAAGGGTCTTTGGACCTTTCACTGCAACCAGGACTATTTCCAGTCATCTTGACTACGTCTTGCCACTGGGTACAGATGGGGTTGTTCGAGAGTGAGGTTGACGCTGCGCAAATCACCCTAACTTAAATCCAAGTTCTCTGTGCAAGTCATGGCACTTTTTTACCATCGTTATTATCCAAGTCCTGTGGCGATGGGCGAGCGACGAAGCAGCAGGCACAGATATGCTGGAAGCTGTAGCCGCAAACCTGCACGCAGGCGGCTCAGGATATTGGTCGTTCCCTCACTGGACCGAAGCAGCAGTGAAGTCTGGCAGCACCCTGAGTCACTGAGCAGCCCTATTCAGGATCACACTGCTCACCTCCATAGTGAGGAAAGGGTTAGCAAAGGTACCCTAAACATTTCCTGCTTCAAAATATCCTGGCCAGCCTACCGAAGCTGGCGGGATCCCATACCTGCGCTCGAAAAATATGAAAAAGATCAAAGTGATACCATTCGCTGTTGGCGCCTGGAATGTGCGCACTTTGATGGACATATCCGGATCAAAAAGACCTGAGAGACGCACCGCCCTCGTGGTCAGAGAGCTAGCCAGATATAATGTGGATGTTGCTGCCCTGAGTGAGACCCGACTGGCCAATACTGGATAGTTGACTGAAGTGGGTGCAGGTTACACATTATTCTGGAACGGACGAGGCCAGGAGAGACGTGATGCTGGTGTTGGTTTTGCAGTAAAAAACCACCTGGTCAACCAACTGGCAAGCCTACCCAAGGGTATAAGCGACCGTTTAATGACCCTAAAGCTCCACCTAATGGGTAAAAAGGAGGCCACCATCATCAGTGCCTATGCCCCTAACATGACCAACTCTGACGAGATCAAAACCAAGTTTTATAATTACCTGGAAGTCATTATTGCTGCCACAGCCAGCTCTAACAAACTCCTGATACTTGGTGACTTCAATGCCAGAGTTGGAAGTGACCATCAATCATGGAATGGAGTTATAGGTGCACATGGCATTGGAAAATGTAACAGCAACGGCCTTCTGCTGCTGAAAACATGCTCTGAATTTGACCTCATCACCAACACGATATTCCAACTACTAAAGCGCAAGAAAACTTCATGGATGCATCCTCGTTCACACCACTGGCACTTGATTGACTACGTCATCATGAGGAGGAGCGACCGGCACGATGTCAGGGTGACCAAGGCAATGTGTGGTGCTGAATGTTGGACTGACCATCGTCTCATCATCTCCAAACTTAACATCCGGATTAAGCCTCCCAGACTCCCACAAGGAAAAAGACTTGTAAAGCGTCTTAACATCACTCGCCTTTAACAGGAACACACCAGACTGGCCTTTGTTGAGGCTCTATACCATCACCTGGAGTCTCTAAGCTTCGAGCATACAGACGCTGAGGCAGACTGGACTGCTCTCAAGACCGTGTTGTATTCTACAGCCCTTGAATCACTTGGTGTGCCCATACGTACACATCAAGATCGGTTTGATGAGAACGATGCAGAAGTCCAAGCACTCCTTGACGAAAAACATCGCCTGCATTAAGCCTATCTGAATGACAGCAGCTCAAGCTTAAAAAACACCGCCTTCCTCAACATTCGCAGGGTTGTCCAACGGAGACTCAGATTCACCATGGAAGTGGAAGTGGAGAAAGATGGCAAACTACCATTCTTGGATGTGCTGTTTGAGAGGAGACCTGATGGATCTTTGGGACATTCTGTCTACAGGAAGGCCACCCACACAGATTCCTACTTGAAACCTGATTCCCACCACTTACGACCACCACGCACCACTGGCAACGCAATCTCACCAACGAATTAGTTTAGTGTTTCCGTGTGCATTTTTAACGTATGAACTTTTTAATGCCATTCAACATAAGTAATTTTGGGGGCTTATATTTCAATTTTATTTGTGATCGATCAGATGATACATTTCTTAAAATATCTTTGGAACCACTAGATTATAAAATTACACTTTATCTAACCATGTGGCACAAAGGTGGCTGCTGGTGCTATTTTACCAGATAAAGATATCACTTGCAAAAGTGTCGAGTGTTGGAACAGCACATAGGGCACCGCACTGTGGTTTACCACATGCCTTGCTCGTGGTGATCTTGTGCTCTTTCATGGAGTGGCTTCTAGAGGTTTTATTGTACAGGCTGTGTTTAAATGCAAGCTAAATAGGTTTGCGGGGCGAAGCCCCCATTATCCCTCACCACCTGCCACTTGTGGGTTTATCATTCTAATCATTGTGCCACCGCCTTTGCCGACTCAGCACTTGCGAGCAGGGTCAGTGGAATTGCGACAGCCGCCCCTGCTACGGGACGTGCAAGATCCTGGGCGGCTCCTATTTCTCGACCTTCGACAGCAAGACGTACAGATTCCACGGGGACTGCTTCTACACCCTCACAACGGTACCGAAACTGCATTTGTAATACATTGGCGCATGTGGCAGCGTGAGCTTGAGATGTAACGAATTTCACCCTCTTCTCCACGATCTAATGAATCATTTTGAGCCAGTGTTACAACTCTATATGCAAATCCAATATCCCATATTCCATTGAGGTCATTGTATATTACCTGCTGTGACATGGCTCAGAAACATGATAATTGATGAAGAAAATAGACTAAAGCTAAAAACTACACAAAGATGCATGGAGAGGGTGCATTCATGGAATTACATTTAGAGATAGAAATATTAACCACACGGGTTAGAGAACGTACGCAAGTTAGAGACATAATTTTGACTGAAGAAAGGTAAGTGGGCAGGATACGTCACTAGAATGGAACGATGGCCAGTGTGGTCGAGACGAACAAAGAGCATACATTATTTGGTGATGATGCATTGGAAGTGGTGCAAAAGTACAATTAACAAAATAAAACTCAACACTGGCATAAAAACAAAAGGAGAGGTTCTATGAAGAACGGACATTGCCAGGAATGTGACTTTTTTTACAAAGGAGAGAGCACTCCCAACAGGATATCAACTGCGGAGAGATGGATCAATACAATCTGCTCGTGTTCAGCAGTTAGATGGATTATTGCAATGTAGCAATATTAGGGATGGCGACAGCTTGGGTAGGCCTTCATGGTTTCACATTGGTGCATATGCATAGACATGTTCATTACATTCCCATGAGTATATGCAATGTATAATTGTAATGTATTTTTTTCTAAAGATAGTTATTGAGAAAGAAAATAGGAGGCATAACATAATGGACATTCGTCATATATGTACAGCTTTTTCCAATTCAGTGACCTCGAACCTTCTGCTCTGTGACCTCAATATTTTTAGGACTGCACTGGCAACAAGTTCTCCGTACTGGGAGAGTTAACCAAGTGCGAGGGGCGAGATTCTAAGACGTGTCTCAATAGTGTTATCCTCTACATCGATGGCATAAGAACGGTGAGTGTGTGTGGGCATGTACACCCAGATGCGCGTGATTGAGTGTGTGTGCGTTTGCATGCATTCTAAGAGTACAAGCTGCCTTAATCCAAGGGGAGGGCATGAGCAGAGAGAGACAGTTTGAGGCATAGATATATTGAGCTAATGAGCAAATCTCTGGTCTCACTGAAGAACAATGACTGCACACACATAAATATCAAGTGAAACTTGTGTTTTCAATTTGAACAAACACTTTTCAGAGCATGTAAAAATGATGCTCATAGTCTGGATGAAGAGGCTTTTAAAGGGTGTTCAAACGTAGTTATAATCTTCCATGGCTGTTCTCTGACACAAACAATATAACTCAAAAGAAAAATAAAGACCCAAAAAGTGAAATAAAGAAATCATTGGGTTGAACTTAGTATATTTCTAATCAGTTTTAAAAGCAACGAATACGTAATAAAATACTGTTGATTGATTACTATATTGTTAGTGACAACCCTGATATAACCATATTGCTTTTCAATAACTACAAGCGATTATTATTGTTTCAGGTTGTGTTCAAGGCATCAGGGGATGTGCTCGTGCATGAGAATAAGGTGCCTCTTCCATTTGTGTCGGGTAAGCCTTGTGATTGACAGTTTTTGCAATCCATTTTACACCTGCCCTCTTAAATCAACCATTTTCAATCCACAGAACTCAACACATTACAGATATTAAAAACAATTACATAAAAGTGTTTTGACAAGTATAAGTCGCTGCTTTGTGAATGTATAGAAATGATGACATATTAAGTCTGTCTGCAATTACACAAATAAACTATTCCATGATAGTTAATCTACAATCATTGTTTAGATCATTTACTCAGGCAGCATGAATTTGTCTTTAAATATGTGTTAAATGCCTAAGCTTCATAACTAAACACTGATTCAAACTTCTGATCATCACTGCTTGTTTTGCAGATGGTCCACCTTATGATGTGAATGTTTGCGTGCATTTCATTACAGCTTGGCATGCACTGTTGGTCTCATGTCTATTTCTTTCAGCATCCTTGACCGTCGTGCAAGAGTCGTCCTTCTACCTCCGTGCGGAAACTAACTTTGGCTTGCGCCTGCGAGTTCAGCTAAAGCCCCTGATGCAGCTGTACATTACCGCGGCCACCGCGTATCACAACAAAACGTGTGGTATGTGTGTCTCAAGCTCTGTTCTTCCGTATGCTGCATTGATGTTTTCTTCAGTTTAAAAAAAACATGTTATCAGTATTTCGGGGATTTTTTTGATATTATACGTGTGTCGAGTTTTAATGTCAAAAATACTTTTTAGCGCCACTCTATAAATAATGACAACATTGTTTGTGATGATTGCTCATTCATTACATGATGGCCGCGTGCTGCCCTTGGCTGCCCTCCTTTGTGCCACCCCAACTCTGATTGGTTGTCGGTTCACTTATTCTTCCGACACGTTCAACCTAGCGAATTAAGCTGTGCACTAACATTACAATTCCGTGACATCACTAAAGTGAGGCCTAAGTACCTGTTTCATCCCGTTACATTGAGTTGAGTGATCCAGTGTGAACCCACCTTAACCGTTGGACAAATGTAAGCTCACATCCCGGGTCAGGGTTCAATCAGCTCAACATTATCCATATGGGGATGATGAAACTAACAGCAGCACTGCACGGGAATGCAACTGTTGTCATATGAATGGAATGGCCCATGTCATAGAAATGTGGAATTATCAACCACAGGGCCAGGGCCAACAACAGAGATGAGTATGGCCCTGTGTTCATGAAAACGGTTCCATCACAGTTGGTACCCGCATTTGAACTTAAGATTTTGCAGTGTTGGCTTCTTGCTCCGACACACGATCATTATGAAACCACCCAAACCACCTCTTAAATGACATCTTGTGACAATTTAACAGGGCTGTGCGGAAATTTCAACGAAGTAACCGGTGACGACTTCACACATTCCGGCATCGTGGACGCGACAGCGGCAACCTTCTGTAACGTGTGGAAGGCTCAGGCGACGTGCCCGGACCGCGATGAGGTCACCATGGACCCGTGCTCGGTGTACATCACCAACAGTGAGACGCTTCATGGCGACACAGCTCACAGCACATGTGTGACCGACCAATGCCACGCTGTCATATTCACTTTATTGCTGGATGAGGGCCTCCTCACGCTGTATATATCATTGTGGGAGGTATTTGACTATTTTTGACCACACTTGTTAGTGGAAGTTGGAGGGATATAGATAGATATTATGACAATGCATTTTGCGGTACTGCCCTCTGCTGCCCACTGCATAGCCCCACAGCTTATTGCACGTCTTATGCATCGTGGTTGTCTATCCAAGCACTTCCCAGACTAAACTCTGATCAACTTTCGAGATCTGTCGAAATCAGGTGCATTCTTGGTGATTTGATCATTGGCTGTTCGCAAAATAAGAATGGATTTCAACATGGAGCTCTCATAGAAAGGAGTCAATCACCCATCAAAGAAAAAAGCTTATTGAATGTGACGCAGAATTATTTCGAACATTACTTCAATTCATTTTATTCACATATGCATGCAAATTAAACAAATGTAGAAGTGTTCCCATAACTGTAAACATTTAAATTATTGGGAAAATATTTTTAATGGTTTTTCCATATAGTTGAGTTCATTAACCTGCTGCATTTAAGAACCTGGCATATGGACGGCTGACTGAAACCCTGATTTGAACTCAGGAACTCAGTGGTGCTGACTCAGTACTCTGACGGTAATGGCCCTCTCCCTAAACCACCTGGTTCCCTCACACACTTAGCAATTTCTAGAGGGCAGCGCATATCCTTGCACTTGCCATCTCCTGACCACCTTGCAACTGAGCAAGTGTTTGAACTTCAATATGTGATTTTACCAGCCCTTGCCTCCATAGCTATGGATTGCACATGTGGACCACCATGCCCAGCTAACGTTTCGGGCAGTGGCCCGACATCTCAAAGGCTACACTCTCTGAGCTTGTGTGTTTCTTATCTTTCAGATGAATACGCCAAAACACATTGTGGCCTTCTGATGGATAATGACGGTCCATTCTCTACCTGCCACAGTGTGGTTTCTGCAGATGAATATTACATGGTACGTTCCCCTTTGCGTGATGATTAACAATATATTTACAGGCAGTCCCCAGGTTACGGAAGGGTTAGGTTCCTGAGAAATATCCGTAACCCGAATTTTTCATGTCGGAAACTGAACAATTTTCCCCAAAAATCAAGATAAAATCCCATAGCTGGAAATAATTGTGCCTCCCTTACCATTTTCTCTCAGTACCGTATCTCGCTGTCGTCCGTTTTCTATCACTCCTAGTATCCTATCGCTGTACATACACTCTGCACTTCCTATGATTCTTTCATTGCATCGAATATCTACCCTACCACTACCCATTATTAAACTAATGGAACATATACTGTATCCAATTGTTGATTTTAATATTAATTGTTAACAGAAAGCAGTCACTTCCGAATGTTTACCGTGCATTGGCTAGGTCTAGACTTCACATACACACACACATACACGCACACAAAGGTGGAGTAGGCTCTCTACACACGCACACATACATACACACACAAACACACACAGATACACAGTACATACTCTATTTTTTTACACGCTTTTTGGGAGCATTTCCGTAAAGTTGAATTTCCTTAAGTCGGATTTTCCGTAACCCGGGGACTGCCTGTATTTTCGTCTTCTTACTCAATGATATCCTGATTGTATGAGCAGTGTCATGTAGTAAGATGAATAATCCACAGAGCTGTGACTCGTTCAGTGTTAGAAAACGGTTCATGGAATTAGACATCACAGAAGTACCTCTGAGATCCCTTCAAGTGACCTCTGGTCCACAAAGTAGGAGCAGCACTTTTCCACTTGCCCCAACCAAACTCCAGCAAACAGAGCGCAGTTTCCTATGGGGTTTATCATGCATGTATGTACGTACGTATTTCGCACATTACGTAGCCAACTGTGCTAGATAAGGGCCTCACCATGCCATATGGGTCATGGGGGTTATTTAGACATATGTCACCACGTGGGTCAGTGTGGGTTGGTGAAAGCAGAGAGTATGGACGGGAAAGCATGGAAGTACAGTACAACAATGGGTTTTCCTGCAAAGCCTTCTGCTGTTCACCGCGTAGCCCCAGATCCAATGTAAAAACCTGTTTGTGCATGCAAGTCACCTATTAAAGTACTATTCAGGCTCAAACCTGCTTAGCTTTTTAGATATTAGGTAGATATTAACACTACTGGTATCAGCCACTGGTAAGTCCCCTCATTTCCATGTCCTCCTGTACCACATACACCCAATTGGCTCCGTCTTTCCAGCCAAGTCAAAAGCGGATTTCCTACTTTCCACAATGTGGGTTTATTGTCTGGAGAAGAATGATGGGCTACTGCTCGTGATGGCCACATACTTGACACCCTCTCATTAGATAAAAATGGTACTTATGATGAGATCAAATATCCATATTTTGGTATGCCCATTTGTCTATCTATCTAATTGACTGTCCATTTATCTGTTTTTGTTTGTCTCACCGTCTGTGTATCCATTTGTGTATATGTCCATTTCTTCATCTGTTTGTCTTGATCTGCCCAATCGATCATCTATCCTTCTGTCCCTCCTCTCTTTGCCCATTCGTCCATTTATAATTCCGTCTGTCCATCCATCCATCTCTCTATCTCAACGCCCGTTTGTTTATCTGTCTGTCTGCCTACACACCACCTGTGCAGCGCTGCAAGTACGATACGTGCAGCTGCTCGTATCCGGAGCCGTGCCTGTGCGCTGCACTCTCGGCATACGCGTACGCGTGCGCCGCTCATGGCGTCGTCCTCGTCGGCTGGAGGAGCGACATCTGCAGTAAGCACAGCCGCACGGGTGACGCCAGGGCAGTGAGTTCAGAGATGGGCGAAATGTAAATGACATTTAATTTAAATATGTAATGTAATTACATTTTTAGTTTGTCATTGGGTACCTAAATTACACAGCTCATAACGTTTGTCAATTTATATGTAAGTTATACAAGAACCAGTTATTGGTCATTTATATCTAAATTATATTTCCTCGAGTAATTTGTAATTTGAATGTATTTTTCCAATCACTAAGTTAATCATAGCATCGAAATCGCATGCCAGAAATCGTCAAGTGTGCCACCAAAGTGAGTTAGAGTTCCATTACTTTAGTGGAGTCATATTCGAACGATTGTCAGTGATATTAGTGATGGAATCACAGTGATGTCACTAGAGTGCTATGTTTCCATGTCTGATTCTGTAACTTTAAAGTCCTTTTTTCTCATAAATGAAAACGTATGTTGGACAGCCCAGAACACGTAACCAATGTATGTATCGACACCATAAGTACTATTAGGAGGGCTCTATCTTTCATACCGTCATCCAACTCAATATACACACCTACCTCAATTCACGCACCCTTCAATTCACAAACCTCCTTTGCTACTCACTCTCGCCTCACCTCTCTCTCTGTCATCACCGTGAACCGTCCACAGGCCTCGACGCCGAGAACTGCCCCATCAGCCACGAGTTCAGCTACGCGGCGCCCGAGTGCGGCTCCGCGTCGTGCCGCGCGTCCCGCGAAGTGTGTCGGGGGGTGCGCCCCCCGCCGTTCGAGCTGCCATCCCCTTCCCCCGTGGAGGGCTGCGTGTGCGGCGCGGGGCTGTACGACGACGAGCACGGCGTGTGTGTGCTCAAGAGCGATTGCCCCTGCTACTCGGAGATGAGCGGGGACGTGATCCGGGCAGGGGTGACCGTTGATCTGCACGACACGCAGTGGTATGAACCAGCGTTGTGCCAGCGTGTGCATTCCACACTCGTGGTGGGCGACATTGGCCGCGGTCGTTTTTGACGTCAACGTTGTCTTGCGCGACCTCGACCACTCTTATCCCAGAGCAGCAGTCTGGGTCGGGTAAATGTATTTGGCGTATTAAGTGCCTCACGGCTGAAACGTTCGCTACTCCACATATATGCACTTTAGTAGTTGCAGAGCAATCATTTTACTTTTTAGCCGAGTCAAGTGTCATGGGCACGTTACTAAAAAAAATGGTTTATTTTAACACGACTTCAGACATGTCTTTCATGGTCGTGCTATATACACGACGCCTGTATCCACGCCATTTGGTATCTTTTGTCCGCCAGCACCAATTCACACCCCCCAGCAGAAGGAGTTAGTCATTGCTGGGTTTTTATTAAGAATTCAGGAGAAATGTCAGGTTATTTGCACAAAAGCTGTCATGTATTTATATAGTGATAATGTTGATGATGATGATTAATGTTATATTTGATAAGACCAAGGATGTCTACTCACGCAATGCATCTTTGCTTCATTGTTTGCCCCCTAGTCTGTGCACGGGTGGGGAACTTCACTGCTTTGGACTTTCCCCCATATCTGGTGAGCTACTCTTGTTGCTATTATTGTCCTTCTTAAGACACTGCAGAAACAACATTTATTTTATAGATAGAGGCAGTCAACCGTAGGCAAAAGTTAAAAGTAAGATCTTGAGCCTGGACTTGAAGAGGGGTAGGAAGCAGCACTTTTGATGACATTCATGAGCACAGCATTATAACAAATATACAATATATAGAAAATGTATAGTACGCTGACAAAATTGGGCACTTGCCACATTTGGATCTGTCCTGCCAATGGTAGTTAATTTCACAATAATCAATATTTCAATCAATATTTGTTCTTGGGTTTGGCCAAGCAGTTGATTTATGACAAGATTGTGGCCATACCAAAAAACAAATATGGATCATTGTATTGACTACACAAAGCTATGTTTTGAGTTAACTTCATAATATGTCACGACTTTATTATCTGCAAATCTTGATTTTTAAAGAACCTGTGTTGTGTGTTTGTGCGTGTGCGTTCAGGGAACACATGCGAAGGCCCGATGACTTACCACAACTGCAGTGACGGATCGAGTGAAGGCAGTGCTGCCTGTCAAAGAACCTGTGCTAATCCACATTCAATATGCGTAAGTGTCCGTTGAAAGTGCAACCAACCCGACAGTCAAATAAAGGCCTCTTATAGCCATCAGTAGTAACAATACATCTGGAAGGAAATATGTAACAATGCTGTGGTGAAACATAGTACCGCACAAATTAAACTTTAAGCTGGTGCTAGTTTACCCAGAACATGGCCTGGGTGTATAGCGACAATATTTGAATAATTATTGAAGCAGAACTACTGACCTCAGGCTAAATACAGCAGAACTTTGTCTTACGATGGTTTAGGCCATCATGATACTCTTGGTTCGTAGTCCTTGATCACCATATCTATCAAGAGCAGTGGGACAGAGAAGGGCATTGTCCCAGAGAAGGGCATTGTCTCATGATAAAGGAAGTATGAGTCAAACCCCGCTACCAAAACTAGTCGGGAAAAGCGAGTGTGAATATAATAGCTGTTTTTGGGTTGCGTCTTCATTGAAACGGATGATCATCATGATGATAACAATGATCACGATGACAACAGTGCGTTGCGCTGGAGAAGGCTCGACCGACACCTGTGTGGCACCCTCCCGTGCGTGCAGTATAGCCCGGGCTGCGTGTCGGGCTGCGTGTGCCCCGGCGGGTTGCTTGTGGATCACAACGGCAACTGCGTGAGTGAGGAGCAATGCACCTGCGAACACAACGGGCGGCACTACAACCCCGGAGACACCATTACCCAGCTGTGCAACAAATGGTGAGCAGTCCGCAGTTGCCCTTTTCCAATGTGCATCTTTGTGCTCCCCCCCACCCCCCACAGCAGCAATATCTTGGACTGGTAGTTGTGTGGGCAGTAGAAACGGGGAAAACATTGGTCAAGGTCGGTGTCACCTTGCACGACCTCGACGTTCAAACGATGCCGACCTTGACCACCCACTCGACCGACGCCAGGACCGCACTGTCACACAGCAGTGGTCGGCGTCGGTGTAGGTCATTAGTGTCACATCTCAATTATGGAGTAGTGAAACCGGGAATATATATTATAGAGAGCGGCAGTCACTCAGAGGAACATAATTGGTCTTGAGCCTGCATTTGTACAGGGGTGTGGAGCAGACAGCACGGACGGTTGAGGTACAAAGGTCCATAGTATGAGGGCACAGCAAAATTACCAACAGGCCCGGGGTTAGGATTGATGATTTAGGGGTGAGGGGTATGTTATATTGTTATTGGTTAGGGTTTTAGGATGTGGGTTTAGGGTTTAGAGGTTATTGCTAGAGACCATTATGGTTAGAGACAGTAGTGCTTTAGACTGCTTTCCTTGCTCCTCATCTATGGCCGCAATCATCTTGGCCTAACACAAAAGGTGGTGGTAATTCCATCTGTGAAGGATGTCATCCCTGACTTGCAATACCCTGGAGTCTATAAACTGAGTTGCAGCTGTGGTGACTGTTACATTGGGGAAACGAAACGTCATGTCTCTGATCGTGTCCGCGAGCACAAGTCAGATTTCAAACACGGCAAAATTGAGTCTTCCGCCGTTTCCGATCATGATATTGTTTTTTCCGAGACTAAGGTGCTCTGCAAACCCTCTGGCTACCATCAAAGGTTTGTACACGAAGCCATTCAGATATACAAACATAGACATAATTTCAACCGTGATGATGGGTACAAACTTAGTAATCATTGGAAAGATGTTATCAACCATGCAAAAAAGATTTAACTACACATTTTTGGACCATCTTATCTGACAGGCACTATTTTACTTTACCGAGTGTTAATATCCCCAACGTTTAACAGTACTCTCTTTATTGTCAGCCAACACTGGTATAAACATGGGCATTTTCGTTTTTTTTCTATCATGTGCATCCACAGTGACTTGCGCACAAACACGTCCACGTTGACGACGCCCACGAGTACCTCGTGCCCTCTTTTAGCCCCGCCCCCCCCTCCCGATACGTTCCATTCATTGGCTACCACATTCTGATAAGCTCCTCCCCCCTTCTCCTCCCCCCTTAACTTGTATTTAAGAGCTTGCATCTTGAATCCCTGCCTCACTTGATGCAGCAAATCTGGCTGTGACGGTCACACCTGATGACGGAGACTTGTGTTGCTTCCGAAACGTCGTGATTTTATTGTTTTATTTTTATTAATTTTTATTTCATTTTTTTACCTACGTGACTTTACCGAAAGAACTAAGAGTATGGTGGTGACCTCTCACCATGCTACGATCGCGCGTGGGTTGTCTCGTCCAGCACGTGCATGAACGCACAATGGAGCTGCACGTCCAAGGTCTGCCAGGGCCTGTGTTTCGTGTACGGAGAGGGCCACCACACGACCTTCGACGGGAAGCAGTATGTCTTCGACGGGTCCTGCCAGTACATCCTGAGCCAGGTGCGCTGTCAATATGTTTTAGTCATATGCAAATTAATCCACTGCACCCTGCGTGCATCTGATGGTTGGGAAGCTTTTCCGTGGTGGGTCGTGAGGACTGGAGTTGAGAAACACTCACATAGAGGCTCATCACGGCCTCTTATTAATATACCACCTGTGTGTGTATTTCGTGAGTATATCTGCGTGGCTTCTATTTTTCATCCATGATATATTTGTTGCTTAACCCTATGCTCTGCAACCACTTTGTTGTTTTTCTTGCAGGATTCCTGTGGGAACAGCAGTGGCTCATTTCGAATCACCACTGAGAATGAGCCGTGTGGAACCACAGGCACCACCTGCTCCAAGAAAGTTCACTTTTTCGTCGGGGTAAGGGTAGAATTTAAAGAAAAAAAATTCTGTATTGAATATATTGTCATGATTTGGGGTCGCAATATGATTCAAAATTTTATTCCATTTTGGTGCATCTTAAAGGTGTCATCTTCAGGAATGTAACAAAGTCACTTTTGTTCTATAGCGTTCATTCCATTAACCTCAAGGTAACGACAACTAAATGGCTAATCTGCGTGTATGTATGTTTGGGGATCTAGATTGTTCCACCAACTTGAGTGAAGGAGCTGTCCTTTGAAAGCTCACGTGGTTTACGTGAATGAGGTCAAACTTACAAAAACAGCTTTACTTTTGATCCGATAATTTTATTTATCTGCGCCAGTAATGCATATCTGGCTTACTATTTACAATATCGCAATGCATGAAACAAGTTTGCAGCCCTAATTCATAAGCCTTTGTGAAGGGGTGAGGGTCATGTGAGTTGATCTGTAGCATGGGCAGACCTCTAAGGTACATGTGGTCTTTTTTTGAGAATTCTTCCCTTGCCAAAAAAAGCAGAAAAATTATCTATATCCGAATAGCATGTGCTAATTGGTGGACATGCTATGCTCAAGTAAAATTGCATTTATGATTATGCCAATTATTACCCACATCTTTAAAGTATCATCAATTTACGTAAAAAATATTCTTACTGCCCGGGAGCTTAATATATAAATTTGTATGCCCAACAAAACTGATGGGGTCTGGTTGCTTAAAGGTCAGAGCACTGTGCTGGCACTGCTGAAATCCTGCTTTTGAAAATGGGCAGTCGCCTCTGATAAAACTGGGTTTTGAAAATTCATGAGTTGATGTTTTCTGCCCATTCATAATATAACTGCACAAAAAAACCTCATCACATAAAATTAGATGTTGCACTTCAATTGCCTACATTACAGATCTGAGAATTAAAAAAATATCAGTTTGATTGCCATGCAACAAACATTACTCCCAGTGACAGAGCAGGTGAGAATTGCTGCCCCCTGCCATGTGGAATAGAGCTCACCTGAATGGCTCTCAGAGGTAACTCTGCTATATTCTTCCTTCGGCTGTTCTTTAACATGGTGGGTCCTACTGGTCTTCAAAGTTCCAAATTCATTTTTAATCTCATGGCACAAAGCGGCGATGGTCTAACTGGCCGTATAACCTCAGAAACTCAACCGCACTGCTCATGCTGTGTCCTCAAAGGCTGACGAGCTGGTGTTGACGGACGGAACCGTAAAGGGGAGTTCGCTGGATTTGCCGGGGTCGCCATTCCACGTGCGCCGCATGGGCATCTACACTGTGGTGGAGACGTCGCTCGGGGTCACGGTCATCTGGGATGGTCACACGGCCGTGTCCGTTCACGTGAACCCACAGCTCAAGGTACAGGAGAGATCAGTCACTTGGAATGGCTTTAGCCGGTAGTTGGGGAGTCACTGGCCACAGAGACGACCGTGTGTCACTCAGGGAGCTAACTCCACATCCCAGAAGTTGGGCCGGTACCACTAAGATCCTGGGTTCTGAGTGTCTCTTACTTAAAGTCAGACACACTAAGCAAATATCACGGAGGTTTTAAGCTGGACTTGAACAGGATCAGGGAGTTGACAGCACGGATGGCTGAAGAAAGGGAGTTCTAACCGCTAGGGCAGCATAGAAGAATGAGTGACTTCCCACTGAACGAAAGTTGGCTGGGAGTTTCGACAGAAAGACTAGGTTGCTGGAGCAGCATAGTGCATGGAGGGAAGTAAAGTAAAATGAGTAGAGCTTGGTAGGAGAGTGCATGGAGGGCAGTAAAGTGAAACGAGAGCCAAGAGACAGGCAGGGTTTAGTCCATGGAGGATCTTGAAGATCTGGGATTGGGAGCCAGTGGAGGGATCGGGAGGATTGGAGGTGAGCACTGTGCGAGCGTGACCCCTGTGAATTTCCCCACAGGGTCACGTGTGTGGCCTTTGCGGAGACTACGATGGCAAGGTGGCCAACGATTTTGTGACGCGCACGGGCTCGGTGGCAGCGAGCGCTCCCGAGTTTGCCGCTGGCTGGAAGGAGTCCGGCTCTGGGTGCCCTGACCTTTCGCGAGTGTCCGACCCGTGCACCATAAACCACCATCGTGAGAGCTGGGCACACAAGCAGTGCTCCGTACTCAAGGATGGGGTGTTCAAGCAGTGTCACAACATGGTACGTGTGTGTGTCTGCGTGTGTGCATGTTCATTTACTTCTGCGTGCACGTGTGCATTTGTGTGTGTGGTCACACGTTGGTGTGTGTGTATTTGCCTTTGTGCATGCTCACATTCGTATTATTGTGTTATTGTGTGTTTATTTTCAGGTCGAGTACCTGCCCTACTACACTGCGTGCGTGCGCGACTCTTGCGGTTGTGACACTGGTGGCGACTGCCACTGCCTGTGCACGGCGCTAGCGTCGTACGCACAAGCGTGCGGCTCGGCGGGCGTGTGCCTACGCTGGAGGACACCGGACCTGTGCCGTGAGTAGCCACCACACCCAGCGGCTATGACACAGAATAGTACAAATAGAGGTGTCCGGGTGGCTCTGCGGAGCTGATAGAAAGTCAGAGTTCAGAGTACCAATCCAACGCCAGGTTTTAGCCGACCAACTGTAGCTGAATCAGATTCCCACGTGTCGCCAGTTGGTGGTATCAGGATGTTCACTTAGAACTATGCAAAAACAACCATCACGTACATTTTTAAAAAAATTCATTACTTAATTACGAGTTCACTACCTGATAAAGCTCAAAGCAGTTTTGAGCGAAATGAGGTATGTTGATGTTACATTCAGTCATAAAAAGTCTTAAGCCACCGGGGAGGAGCATTATTATCAGAATTTTATCAATACATTGTTGGCACGTATGGAGAGGTGCATGCTTGGAATTAAACTGAGACAGAAAGAAGAACACATGGATTGGAGAACCAAACGTAAGTTAGGGACAATATTGACTGCCAAGAAATGTAAGTGGGCTTGGGCAGAACATGTTGCTGAAGGGATGATGACCAGTAGCTGAGAATAATGATGCAGTGGCAGCCAAAGGAAGGAATGTGACTGAGAGCACATCTACTGCGGAGATGGAGCGATACAATCAGCTCGTGTGCAAGAACTAGATTGATTTGAAGACCGTGACAGATGGCAACGGCGAGGGGAGGCCTTCTTCCAGCATTGGATAGTCGTAGCTTATGTTAATGATTGAGAAACAACCTTCAAAATCACTGTTAGGCACGTCATTATAAGATTCTAATGCAGGGGGTTTTAACATTTTCTTGTAAATGGACCATGATGGGAAAAATGGACAAATGGGGGAAGGCACTGGAGTGTCTTTCCTACAAAATATATGTATACGATTGGCTTAGTCAGTACAACTATGCTGCCCATTTAAAGCAAAGCTTTCAAGAAAATTTATTGTGAAATGTTGAACACATTAAATGCACGGGGATGCATTATAAGGCGTGCCTGACTGCAACTATAGAGCATAAATTGGGCTTTCCCAGTTGCTCACTCCTGGCACTTTCTCCTTCAGTCTATATGGTTAAATAGGGGTTCCTTGTATTTTTGTGCATCTGTATGTATCTGCAACTACAAACGTATTGCTCTGTTTACATATGTGAGTCCATGTTTCTACATTGGTATGTGTTTATATACACCCGTGTGCTCTCTGGTGTTTATTCATGTACATGTGTGAGTGTACTTGCACGTATTTACCTACATGTGTATGAAGGTGTATGTGAATGCATTGTCATACATATGTGTCTGTGTGCAGCGAGTGGTACTGCAGTGGTCAATGCACTGCATTACGATAATTGGAAACCCGAGTTAGATTCCGACTCATGGCCAATATCAGTGATGATTATCTGAACTGGTCATGAGCCTCCTTTAAATCGACTCAGTCTTAAATGATTACATGGTAAGGCGTATAACATTGGCATTGGGGAGGCACAGGTGATCTGGCGAAGTCCTTATCACACCACCCCCTTGAGTACCATGTTGGCTTGCATAGGTATATGGGTATTTTTTGTCTTTATACGTATATGTCTTCACGTTTATGTGTGTTCATTGACGTACGTTTGTGTTCATATGTAGGCGTGTTCATTCACTTACGTATTTGTGTGTTCCCATTTCTTCATTTATGTGTATGTGTTTAATCACTCGTGTGTTTGTCTGTACGTGTGCAATTTATCTTCCACAGCGCTTGGCTGTGACTTGTACAACAAGGATGAGGATCAGTGCGAGTGGCATTACCGGGAGTGTGGCCGGGGCTGCCAGCGCTCCTGCACCAACAGGAATGCCATCTGTACCGCTAACCTGCCCCCGCTGGAAGGTGAAGCCACTTCTTGGGTTCCCGTGAAACCACATTTATTGATCGCAGATGCCTCTTCTCATGTGGACGGTTTGGCATGTGCCATGTTTTAGATAAAACCCTACAGTACTTCCGCGTCTCCACGAGCCACATAACTCAAGCGTGAATTCGAGTTGCCGTCCCGGTGGCGCGTTTCTGGATTGTATTTGGTCAATTAAAATTTTCCTCCAATTAGGGCTGCCACCCAAATATTCCGGGTGGGTCTTGCTTCACAGGCTAGCTTGCATTCCCTATGTTAGAATTCAGATAGAGAAGAAATACATAACCAAGTATGTAACATTAGCAGAAACATAGAATTTTGTTTTCAATTTAATAATTTATTTGTCATCAACGTGGTCTTGACCTTTGACTCGCAATTATATCTCGGAAAGTCTTACTCAGAAACACGTCTAGGAAAGACCTGCTCAGCTCACGTGGTAACTCAAGTAACTTGGAAAGTCATGGAAATGTTTTTTCTAAAGTGAAACTTTAGTTATCTTTCATATTGTGGCCTGCACAGAAATAAAATAAAAAAAATCATTGAGTTGGCTGGCTGTCCCATGGAAATGCATATTTGCGTTCCTCTGACATTGTGAGCATAATTAATATGTGGGGCAGAAAGGCGTTTTTTTATATGTCAGAAGTATAGTAAATCTACTATTTAAAGAATATAAAATCCAAAAATCGGTGGAAATAAATTTTCAACCAACCTCAGACCAGGCACTGCTCCAGAAATGCAGCCATTTAAACTGTGTTTTAACCATTGACTCGATATCAGAGAATCTTCTCTCTGGTCTGGTTCTTGATAAAATTAAGCCAATGTCTCCATCGTCAACCACACAGTAAATCGAATTTTGAATCGGGTTCTAATCATGCAGCATGTTGGCTCCCATGTGACCCTGTGATGACACCATATGTGTAAATATTTGATTTAAAAGTGCATTCTGGTTCCTGTAATTTTTATCATCTGATTTGTGTCGTCTGTTTCATTTAGTGTGCTAACCGTAACACCACAGCAGCATTTATTTTTCATGAGAAATCCATAAAGTGTTCGAACGATTGAAACTCATTCACGCGATTCAATGTATCGTGAGCGATCTTAATAACCGATTCTAATGTGCACCGTGACCTCCCCACCTCTGCAGGCTGCTACCCGACCTGCCCGAGTGATCGGCCGTTCCTGAACGAGAGTAGCATGACCTGCGTGGAGCAGTGTGACTGCGTCTCTAACGGAACCACCTACAAGGCTAACGACAGGATTCCAAGCAATAACCCGTGCGAAATCTGGTGAGCCCGCAGTTCACGCATAGCGCTTGCAGCCGGCCTTGTTCAGTGTGGTGGCGTACGCCTGTGTGATCCAGCGCTTCGGAGACAAAACTTAGTGGATCACAGAGAGATTTGTGAAATTCCAAACCCACTGGTCTGTGACGTTGCCAAGAGATGGCGATACAGCTATTAAGTTCAACTGTTGTAAATGGTAGAGCAGATGAGCATTGCCGGGGCCGATAAGCCAATTAACTGGTCAAAGGAATTTATTTTCATAATTTGGAACTCATTCACATGAACTGCATATCATAAACTTTCAAAAGGAATTGCATTCATTGATAAAAGGAGGCATTATCTTGACATACATACATACATACATGGAAAATGCATACATACAGATATGTACAAACTAGCGGGAAGTACCCGGCATTGCCGGGTTTTTTAAAATATTTCAAAACTACAAAATCTAACAGCAGTGCATACTGACTGTGGTGGTACCTGCTATGATTACAGCAGTGCATACTGACTGTGGTGGTACCTGCTATGATTACAGCAGTGCATACCGATTGTGGTGGTACCTGCTATCACTACAGTAGTACATGCTGACTCTTTAGCAGTATTTATTGACTCTATAGCACAAAGTACTCACCTGACAGAGTGGCGTGGTGAGGCGTAGTCCCGTGCAGAGCCTCCGGCCTCGCCTAGATTGTCCAGCCGGCTGAGGTGGCACCTTGGCAGGCTGGGGCTGGGCTGCTACCCCCTGACCCCCCCCCCCCAGCCACGATCTCCCCGGCCGCTCTGCAGTAAAATCTACGGCATATAGCGGTAGCATCTAGCGACTGTATAGTAGTAATAACTGCATGCATTGGGGTGGCGGGGGACATCACACAGTGAAGAATTAACGTCAGCGTTTAGTGTATCTTTATAGCATTTTTAACGCGAAAGAAAATGTCCCCGTCACTCCCACTGAAGGCGTGCGACTTGGCATGGGCCGTCCCCCCCACCAAAGGCGCGTGAGTTGGTATGGTCGTGCGCGCGTCATAAATAAATAAATAAGCGCGAAAAAACCCACTAAATCGATAATTACACATTTTTTAAGTTGACAGATGTGAAAAAGGAATAGCGCTTGCTCACCGCGGGGCTTACGGCTTGGTACCTGGCTATTTTCTTTTTTCCGTAAACCCCACCGTTGGAGAGGCGAATCGTTCGCAAGCGTGCGAACAGACACAGACCCACAAACAAACCCACAAACAGACAATTTTTTACTTTTATTTTTATAGATTGTGAACATTTTTGCTTCTGGGAGGAAATCAGATAATTATTTCAAAGATACATTTATACGACAGATCTTTTAACAATTTTTTATGAATCTGATATCACTGAAAATTAGGCCTAGATATGAAATATCTCATGATGCAAATATTTTTCTTTTGGATTAACCTGAAAACGTGACATCAAAGGAGAATAAAGCACTTCCATATCATTGCTTTCGTACTTTTCCAGTAAAAAGTGTCGTAAAAATAAAATTTGAAATTGCGGCAAAAAATCCGACATTGAAATTTTTTTATCTGAAACTCATCCCTAAAACATACAAAATAAATAAGGCCTTCCCACGTAAAAAAAGTATGTAATTTTTGCACATCCAATCAGCCGCACGGCCTTCTGGTAGTGCATCTTATCAGCAGCATTGGTTCAATGCAAACAAACTGGTCTGGTTTTGATATTCATCGTCTCATCGGCAGTCAGCCTTGCTTGAACCAAGGCCCCTTTCCACACTTACAACGAATACAGCTTAGATGATTATGATGTACTACTATAACTTTTTTTTATTTGACCAGGTAATGCCCACTGAGCTACATAGCTCTTTTCCAGGAGCATCCTGGCCACATATAGCTCAACTGAGTGGCTTTCATTATTTGGAAAATTTTAGCAGCCAAATACTCTAAACGCACGTTTCTGAATGTGGAGAGAAAAACTGGAGGACCCAGAGAAAAATCCACGCGATCATAAGGGGAATATGAAAACTCCAAAGAAACAGACGTCAGGGTCGGGATCTAACCCATGACCTCCTGTGATCAATCAATATGTGATCAATCAAGCAGCATGTCACAGAGAATTTGACTTGATAACACATTTCTACCCCTCAAAATGAGCCTGAGCGAGGTGGCAGAGTTGTGCTTGCATTTGCTCTCAGTCCCGTTTGTCGCTTGTACGCTATTAACATGGGTCTGTGTTTTCCCATCAGTTCCTGTACAATCGACGGCATTTCCTGCACAATTATCCCAGGTAAGCACAACCGTACATTCCACCATAGAATGATCCCCAAGGTGGTAAATATACATGTAAATTTTTCAAGCCACTCCCCACAGCATGCAGATTGTGGTTATTGTGTGACCATACTTTATCACACTGGTCAGCACAGGTTAGTGAAGGTGGGGAAGCATAGATGTAGCAGCAAGATCAAGATTCAGAGCTGATTCCATCCAGTGCATTTCATCCCTTGCTTTCCTCTATAACAAAATCCCGAATACATTTTTTTATTTAGCTATTTTTTTCCGACAAATCAGAGTATTTCCTGTTTTATTAAAGGCACATATGTGCACTATAATTGTGAAAATTGAAAAACAAACAAAAACATGAAATTCACCCTGGTGAAGTGCTGGAGGTAGGGTTATGGTTAGGGTCAGGATCATTAGGAAGGCTTTTTCTCGTGTAATGTTTGAATAGTTGGTTATGGTTCGGCTTGGTCGTTGGTTTTCTTGTTAGGGTTAGTAGGATGGTTAGTACTGTACTAGTGCCTGGTGGGATAGTTGTTTGGGGTTAGATGTAGGGCTAGCATTTGGTTGGCTCGTGTTCTCTGCCCCTAAACTACTTGCCTGTTTTCTTTATAACATATCACCTATTTAATTTTTGCTTGCTTTTTATTTGTCTGGTTTTTACAGTACCCTGTTTGAGATTTCAAACGTTTCAACTTTCTTGTTAGACATTTGTTGAGATGTAGAGATGGAATTCAGATGACACCATGTGTTAATCCATGTGTTAAGTTCGAAAGTCAGCTGGAAGGCCTATTCATGATTTTTTTTTACGAATTGTAGCACGGAAGTTTAGCTCAGTTGTTGAATTTGCGCAGCCAGCCAGACTGTTGTGGATTCTGATTTTATTAGGCTTGTCAAAGTTTATTTTAGGTCCATAAAGGTCAAAGTGAAGGTTCCAGACTTAGGGAGGGGCAAGGCCATTGATGGATTTAAATGCGAGGGCAAGGATCTTGTTTTTCACACGCTTGTTAATAGGAAGCCGGTGAAGCGAGTCCAGGACTGGGGTGATGGGAGCACAATATTGGTTGGGTAAAGCACCCAGTCTGTGGCATTTTAGACTATCTGTAGTTTATATTCTTGGTTGCTTCGGTAAAGTCACGTAGAAGGGAAATAATAAAATAATAACAATATAAAACAAGAAATTCTTATTTTATTATTTCCCTTCTACGTTACTTTACCAAAAGAACCAAGAATATGAATCCCTGCAGTCACGAAAGCTTTAAAGCAAAATGTATCTATAGTTTATTGAGAAATGCTGCAAGAAATCTAGCCTTGATGTGACGAAAGCATGGACCAGGGTTTCAGCAGCAGTAGCAGGGGTGAGGTATGGACAGGCAATCTTGTGGAGGTGGAAAAATGTAGTCTTAGTAACTGAGCAGTTGTGGGGAAGGAAGCTCAGCACAGTTTTCAGAAGGATGCCAAGTTTGTGGACAATGGGGATGAGGATCCATAAAATGCTGTTGAGAATCAAAAATAATAGCTCCTGTTTTTCTGACATTTAACTTAATAAATTTCGAGCTCATCAAATAATATAAATTTGATAAACAGTCGAACAGCACTTCTATAGCTCTGAAATCAATGCTGGAGGCAGAATGGTGAAGTTTGGTGTCATGAACCTACGTGTGAAAGTCGACCCCATGCTTGCGGATGATGTTGCTGAGGCGTATCATTTAAGTGCTCAGAGTTTTTTTTAATCATGATATGTGAAGCAATTTGGTTCAAATAAAAACATAGTAGAGTATTTTAGATATAATCAAGAAAAGTCTGACGGGGAGAACACTTGCACTGTGGAATTGGGCAGGTTACCTAGACGAGTGTAGAAGTGATACCCATAGGTTGGCGACCAAGGGAAAGAGCTAAAGCCACATGGTGGTGATCATGAGACTATTGAAGTGGACCTTGAAGGTCATGTCCACTGTAACAATAATACTTTCTGAAACCAGGTGGTCAGACAATGTAAGAGCCATTCTGGGATTAGGGTGCAGCAGTACAACATCACTGGGCAAGATGAACTCTTGAGCTTCAAGTATGAGAAGTTGAGAGTTGTGTTCTCTCGCATACACATTAAGAAAGGGGTTGTTTGTAAATGACGTGCAATGTTGCCCTTATGGTTAGCAGCATGAGTTTCAATGCAGTGTTTAAAAAAAGTGTTTAATCTAATAACATGGTTGTTTTACTTTTGTTATATAGGGTGTCCACAAACCACGACTACTATTACTGCAACAACCACAGAATCAACAACTACAACCTCATCCTCAACAGTTCCTCCAACAACTATCTCAACTACCAGCGAGTCAACAACTAGATCACCATCTTTATCAGCTTCTGCACTCACCACAGAATCATCCACAATAGGAACTCCATCAACCACCTCAATAACCATAGAATCAACAACTATGCCCCCATCCACAACACTTAGATGCATCTGGACATCATGGGACAGCATTGACTACCCCAATGATAATAATCCACCAAATGACAATGAGACGTATGCTCACTACCAGGAGAAGACAGGACATGCCATCTGTAGGACCGGTGTTCCCATGCACATAGATTGTCGGGCAATAGGTTATGAAGAAGCAAATTTTTCAGACACGGGGACTGGCGTCACGTGTGATGTCAAAGAAGGCCTCCTGTGCTTGGAAGAATTGCAGGATCCGTACAGAGGAGGATGTAAAAACTATGAGATCCGAGTGTGCTGTCCACTGGGAGATTACCACTCAACAATTACCACGCCAACAACTATACCATCCACAACAGCACCTCCATCTACGACCTCAATAACCACCGAATCAACAACTACACCCCCACCCACAACAGCACCTCCATCAACCACCTCAATAACCGAATCAACAACTACACCCCCACCCACAACAGCACCTCCATCAACCACCTCAATAACCGAATCAACAACTACACCCCCACCCACAACAACACCTCCATCAACCACCTCAGTAATCACCGAATCAACAACTACACCCCCAACCACAACAACACCTCCATTTACCACCTCAATAACCACAGAATCAACAACTACACCCCCAACCACAACAGCACCTCCATCGAGCACCTCAATTACCACCGAATCAACAACTACACCCCCACCCACAACAACACCTCCATCAACCACCGCAATAACCACCGAATCAACAACTACACCCCCACCCACAACAGCACCTCCATCTACCACCTCAATAACCGAATCAACAACTACACCCCCACCCACAACAGCACCTCCATCTACCACCTCAATAACCGAATCAACAACTACACCCCCACCCACAACAGCACCTCCATCTACCACCTCAATAACCACCGAATCAACAACTAAACCCCCACCCACAACAACACCTCCATCAACCACCTCAATAACCACCGAATCAACAACTACACCCCCACCCACAACAGCACCTCCATCTACCACCTCAATAACCGAATCAACAACTACACCCCCACCCACAACAGCACCTCCATCAACAGCACCTCCATCAACCACCTCAATAATCACCGAATCAACAACTACGCCACCACCCACAACATCACCTCCATCTACCACCTCAATAATCACCGAATCAACAACTACACCCCCACCCACAACAGTACCTCCGTCTACCACCTCAGTAATCACCGAATCAACACCCCCACCCACAACAACACCTCCATTTACCACCTCAATAACCACAGAATCAACAACTACACCCCCAACCACAACAGCACCTCCATCGAGCACCTCAATTACCACCGAATCAACAACAATTGAATGCATGTGGGCATCATGGCACAGCATTGACTACCCCAATGATAATACTCCATCGAATGACAATGAGACGTATGCTCACTACCAGGAGAAGACAGGACATGCCATCTGTGAGATCGGTGTTCCCACCCGCATAGATTGTCGGGCAATAGGTTATGAAGAAGCGAATTTGTCAGACACGGGGACTGGCATCACGTGTGATGTCAACGAAGGGCTCCTGTGCTTGGAAGAATTGCAGGATCCGTACAGTGGAGGATGTAAAAACTATGAGATCCGAGTGTGCTGTCCACCAACAATTACCACACCAACAACTATACCATCCACAACAGCACCTCCATCTACCACCTCAATAACCACCGAATCAACAACTACACCCCCACCCACAACAACACCTCCATCAACCACCTCAATAACCACCGAATCAACAACTACACCCCCACCCACAACAGCACCTCCATCTACCACCTCAATAACCGAATCAACAACTACACCCCCACCCACAACAGCACCTCCATCTACCACCTCAATAACCACCGAATCAACAACTACACCCCCACCCACAACAGCACCTCCATCTACCACCTCAATAACCGAATCAACAACTACACCCCCACCCACAACAACACCTCCATCAACCACCTCAATAACCACCGAATCAACAACTACACCCCCACCCACAACAGCACCTCCATCTACCACCTCAATAACCACCGAATCAACAACTACACCCCCACCCACAACAACACCTCCATCAACCACCTCAATAACCACCGAATCAACAACTACACCCCCACCCACAACAGCACCTCCATCTACCACCTCAATAACCGAATCAACAACTACACCTCCACCCACAACAACACCTCCATCAACCACCTCAATAACCGAATCAACAACCACACCCCCACCCACAACAACACCTCCATCAACCACCTCAATAACCGAATCAACAACTACACCCCCACCCACAACAGCACCTCCATCTACCACCTCAATAACCGAATCAACAACTACACCCCCACCCACAACAGCACCTCCATCAACAGCACCTCCATCAACCACCTTAATAACCGAATCAACAACTACACCTCCACCCACAACAGCACCTCCATCAACCACCTCAATAACCGAATCAACTACACCCCCACCCACAACAGCACCTCCATCAACCACCTCAATAACCGAATCAACAACTACACCCCCACCCACAACAACACCTCCATTAACCACCTCAATAACCGAATCAACAACTACACCCCCACCCACAACAGCACCTCCATCTACCACCTCAATAACCGAATCAACAACTACACCTCCACCCACAACAACACCTCCATCAACCACCTCAATAACCGAATCAACAACCACACCCCCACCCACAACAACACCTCCATCAACCACCTCAATAACCGAATCAACAACTACACCCCCACCCACAACAGCACCTCCATCTACCACCTCAATAACCGAATCAACAACTACACCCCCACCCACAACAGCACCTCCATCAACAGCACCTCCATCAACCACCTCAACCGAATCAACAACTACACCCCCACCCACAACAGCACCTCCATCAACCACCTCAATAACCGAATCAACTACACCCCCACCCACAACAGCACCTCCATCAACCACCTCAATAACCGAATCAACAACTACACCCCCACCCACAACAACACCTCCATCAACCACCTCAATAACCGAATCAACAACTACACCCCCACCCACAACAGCACCTCCATCAACCACCTCAATAACCGAATCAACAACTACACCCCCACCCACAACAACACCTCCATCTACCAACTCAATAATCGAATCAACAACTACACACCCACCCACAACAGCACCTCCATCAACCACCTCAATAACCGAATCAACAACTACACCCCCACCCACAACAACACCTCCATCTACCAACTCAATAATCGAATCAACAACTACACCCACAACAGCACCTCCATCAACCACCTCAATAACCGAATCAACAACTACACCCCCACCCACAACAGCACCTCCATCTACCACCTCAATTACCACCGAATCAACTACACCCCCACCCACAACAGCACCTCCATCAACCGCTTCAATAACCACCGAGTCACCTATACCATGTGTGTGGTCCGAATGGTTCAATTCTGATATCCCCAACTTAAGAAATGAAGGTGACGATGAGACATTTGCACACATCAGGAAGAGTGGTACCGACATATGCCCTATGAGCTATCCTGTGGATATCGCGTGCCAAGTGGTGGGTTCTCCAGATTTAACCTTCCCCAATTTTGTGCAAAATGTCACTTGTGATGTCTCCACTGGACTTCTCTGCCTCAATAAGGATAATGCCCCATTGTGCAAAGACTACCAGATTCGAGTATGCTGTAATCCGATAACCACTACGCCCTACACAGTGGCATCAACCATACAATCAACTGAATCTCCATCAACAACTGTAACATTCCAGCCTTCAAGCAAATCTTCAGCAACCACTTCAATAACTTACAAACCAACAACTGTGACAACAACCGTGACACTGCCAACCACAACAGTAACATCCATTTCAACAAAAACGCCAACAAAATCGTCAAGCACAACGCCATCGAAATCTACAATCAACACGTCTCCACAAACTCCCACCTGCCCTCCAGTAAGTATTGAACCAAATAAATCGTGTTTTTATTCTGAACAGATACTATCGCCGCTATTTAACAGTTAAAGTTTTTGGCTATTCAGATAAGAGGTATTCTAAATTGTTTTTAGAAATGTATTAACAGTTTTTCATGTAATCAATAATTTACGTTTGTAAGGCGCATTTCATCCTTAGATCCCATGGGTAAAATTTTAGTCTCAAGGTTATATGATAGGGGCGCAACTATGGGGGGTATGCGATGCATAGGGGCCCAGTTGGCCACAAGGGAGTCTCGAATCAATAGATAAGAAAAAATGTTAAGAATATGTTTTTAATGCATTAAAAATTACCTGCACTCTACCATGGACCAAGCCCAATAACTCATCTGACTATCAATCGATCATAAAGTTGCGCGATCCACCCCCTTTAAGGAAATCCTAGACCGATGGGCCAGCATGAAAGCAAGACGCACGATAACTTATTTTATTGTACCCTTACGTCTTTTATTTATTTAATGATACTGTGAGACTGCCTTCTTAACATAGTTCACGGTGCAACTGAATTAATATATAGTTATAGCCTACATATTATTGTATATGGGTTAAAAACATCCGTTTTTGTATCTTGCATAGCCCCCTCGTTGAAATAGGTTTATGGCCCTGATTATAGTCTTCCTTCATCCACAGACTCCATTAAATGTATATGTCACTATCTCGTGTGTTTCCAGATATATAAATATGAAATTAAGTTTTCAGTCCCATTAAAAAAATATTCTGCAATTGAATGGGATCCCTTCAAGTGAACTCTTATCCAAACAAGGGGCCTTGCATTCCATGTGTGCGCTGCCATATGGCAGTCAACCCAAGGTGTTGTTTGATAATTCACTGACTGGGGGAGAGTAAAGGGCAAATTAACTGAATAAAAAAACATGTAATGTGATGGTTTTTTGAGCAGTAATTTGGTGACTGGGCTGAGACTGTCAACCCGCTTTTACTTTAGAATTCAGTTAAATCACTTATGGCTGAAAACAGGATTCTGGCCCAGAATTTCAGGGGTGCCATCTCATTGGTTATAACCCTTGAGCTACCCAGCCACTTCCAAGTAGCATGTTTTTTAAATATCGTATTTTTATTTCACTCGCATAACCGTTTACAAAACCATTTCAGATATGATTTGCCACTAGTGTTAGCCGTGGCAAATTCCACATGTTTATAGTGTATTACGCTGTCCATTATACCATTAAGATGCGGTTGCATTTGGATGTTTTGTAAACGTAAATGCATGTAATTGTTTGTACATATTGTTCTTACTTTGGCATGTCATCTTGTATTTTCTAACAGTGCAAAACCCCAGTCAAGCCAGTATGTGAAAACAAGGCTCTACCACAACTTATCAAGAAAGGATGCTGTGAAGAATACGAGTGCCCATGTGAGTTTGTAGAGCACATTCAGATGGCCTTCACATTTTAATCTGGGTTTTTCAACACCACACTGAGCTTTGCCAATTATTGTTTTACTACATGCTCTTATTCTATTGTAGGTGTGCATGATGGCTGTGAGAGAGCAGTCAACTACCAGGAGATGACAGCACAGCACTAGTTGCAGTCTACCTATAGATTTTGTCCACTCTCTGGATAGTGTCTGTGGATTGAATCCATCTGTGCGGAGCTTTCAGTGTTATCCCCTTGTATGCGTGGGGATTTTCTCCGGGTACTCCAGGTTCCTCCCACTAAAACATGTAAATGCAGAACGCTTCTAAAATTAAGCGTTACGACTCTTGAGACAATTAATGTAGAGGATTTAGAGGACTAAAGCCAAATATGCCATATATTTGACTGTTCAGTGTTCCAGGTACTTTCATAAGTATGATATTAAAGTTAGTGTAAAACCCACTACTTCTGTGAAGTGTTCACAAAAGTCTAAGGCTTTTGGCATCCGATTAGCAGTATAAGGCAACTTGTGTCAGTTCCCAGCATGCTCTGCGCTCCTAGCCACCATATTATTTATCACCCTAGAGTAGGCTTGCTTTTATTAGGCTGCCATGTGCACAAACAGCCAATCAGAGCCAGCACATTAGGCACCAATAATGGCATTTTAGTAGCCCCCTCATTTTGACACAAATGTTGGTCATTGAGAAGCTTTATGAAAGGAAAATGACAAGTGTGTTTTTTTAAACTAATGGGTTCTTTTATTTTACCAGTTGAGATCTACAGGATATACACCTGGACTCTAGTTAAACAACAACAAGGTTACAAGTTTGCCAACAGGTTAGACTCAATTGAAGATATAAGGTTTGATCATTAAACCATCGGATAACAGTTGTAATTTATAAAGTGAAAACATTGAAATTGAGCTGGGCAGGACACTGAACTGGATGATCAAATGACTGATATGAAACAAATGGCCAATTGAGTGAAAAAGAAACAGAGGAAGGCAAAAAATGTCATGGCGGGATGAGATCGGACAAATTTGAGCACGCAGGATGGAGGTAGTAAGAGAGTGTGAAGAGTGGAAGACATTGGTGGGGGTGTGGGGGTCCTTTTTCGTGTAGTGGGATGCTGAGGGTTAATGCATAAATAATGCATCTTTGTGTATAGCAGGATGTAGGTAGGGCTGCTTGATTATAATGCTCTATTTTCTGTGTGTGCCCACTTTCACCTCCCTCCCACCCTACCCTCACTCTTAATGCAGGTTTTTGTAAAGGATGGGGAGATCCTCACTTTTTGACGTTTGGCGGCAATAAATATGACTTCCAGGGGGTGTGCCAGTATGTTCTGGTGCAGCAGATCAATGGTTCTGGGATAGACTGGAATTTTCACTTCAAAGTACTTATCGACACGTATGATTGTGGGGCCAGAGATGGAGTTTCGTGTCCCCAGAACTTGATCATTTCCTACGAGCAGTACGAAATTCGACTGGAGCGGAGAAACAACACAACCAACGTAAAGGTATGGGGTAAACTTAAATTGACAATTTATACAATAAATATGTGAGTTAGACCTCCAGGAAATGATGGTTTGGGATTGCTTTGTTTTCCAGGTATTATTGAATGGGACAATTACACAAACTCCCTACAAAATTCCAGGTGAGTTTCTCTGATTTCTATTTGATTCAATGCTGTACTTTATTTTACGTGTTTTCTTTTTGTTAGAATGGTGACCCAAGTCACTCTTGCAAATGCGAGTTACCATCTGATTAAACAAATAAACTTGTCCTTGAATATGAACGACTGCTGGGGGAAGTATTTAGGCCTGAATACCGAACGACTTAGTTTGATCAGTTGTGACTTGAAAATAACTGTGATTCAATAAGATAGGTTTGGACAAATACACCTCGTCAATTTGGGACATCATTTAGGGATGGCACCACTGTTCGAGTTCAATATTACAGCAGCAGCCTCCATGGCTCCTCAATTCACACGGTGCAAGCTGCAATCACACTGGCAGCTGATTGGCTGCGTGCATTGGGAGTAATGATATAATCCTCAGCAACCGCTGCCACGTCCTTAGGCTTGCAATTTCACTCGGAACCGCATATTTTTTAAAGTTACGTTTTAACCTAAATCATCTTGGAGTCAATTACAATCGCTGTGTTGATACAGAACGGATCTTCCTTGCAACTAGCTGGGTAACTGGCTAAATGAGACTTTGATTAATCCATTAATTGAATCGCAGCCTGCTGGATTGTTGGAGCATTTTCTTCTACTCCGACCCAAGATCGCAGTGATCCAGTGCATGGTGGTCGCCCTTCCAAGCACTATCCAGGCTCAATCCTTCATAGATTCTGAGGTCTGATAGGGTCGGGCTCATTCCTTGTGATTTGGTTATAGGATAATATTGTGCACCGTACCTGCTGAAAATATTTTACTCACGGAGTACCGTAATTATAGGGGAAATTACTCGATGACCCAAACCTTATCTGGAGTGCTTATATCGACGTTCAAGGTGGATTGGAAAGAAAAGTAATGTTCGGCATTTTCCAATATTGTATACTTGCTGATAACCTTCCTAAACAAGCAGGCTTGCTCTAAGAAGTCTAATTAAATTATAATTAGTACCATTAATATATGTTACAACAATGTAGTCTTCCATAGATAGCAAAATGCATTTGAGACAAAAATGTATGCAGATTGTTTCGTGACGAACCTGTACCATTTGTGAAGGTAATTTCTCCATCGATTACACTGGAATCACCTTGACTGTGAACTTCGAGAAGATTAACTCTAGGATAACCTTTGATGGCCAATTGTTCGTCATTGTGCTGTCACATGCAATCTTTGGGAACAAGACGGAGGGGCAATGTGGTGAGTGGCCATTTCACGTTGCTGCAAACGCAGAGTGCTTTCTACAACACATTCCACTTAGCATACAATGCAATCTCCATATATATAAAAGGCAAAGTTGTGAATATGTGTGTCTGTTCAAAATGTTTAGCGTACTTCCCGACATGCAACAAACTGGAAATTTGCCATGTGGGTACCGTCCAGAGTGTACACCATGCAAAAATTGTAAAAATACACTTTTTTTTTGGGGGGGGGGGGGGGGAGCTCAATAATGCATATATTTTTTGCACGGCAAGTGAGCTGTGACGTCAAATTTGTCATGTGACCCGCGCATGTGGAAGCGTAACACATTGTAGTGTAGTGGTTAGCGCTCTGCGCTACGAACCCGGCGACCCGAGTTCGATTCCCACTCACGGCCACCACCGGTGACGATTATTTGAACCGGTCCTGGGTCTCCCCTAGGTCGACTCAGCCTCAAACGAGTAACTGGTGTGGTGTTTGAACATTGCCACTGGGGAGACAAAGGTGGCCGGGCGTGGTGCTGTCACCCACCCCCTCGTTAATTTATATAGCATTTAAATGCTACCACATCTCTAGACGCTGTACAGAAATCAGTTGGCATAATATAGAGAGGGAGTCATTTTCATAGTTTGGGGTCCCAATTTGATGTATTCATATTTATTTATACTGTCTCGTTCATATTATCTTCGTGATATGTTTTGTCTAAGTTTATTCCCACCATTAGAATATAATGTGCATAGTTCATACATAGCAGCTTCATCGCGCAATTTGATTCTTTGGTGGGTTAGGGTTATATATACAAAACCCACCCTTCACCTGTTGGCCCTGCCTTCAGACAATTCCAGTCACATGTTGATGAACACTGATTCCACTCACCACTTTCCAACAACCAGACTAAATAAATTTTTTTCTCTTCTGTTTAGTTTAATTTAGTTACCATTTTCTCAGTGCCATCCGCACTTCAGGTTTTTGCTGAATGTGGCACATTATACATCTTGGATTTAGAGATTGACCAAACACTCACACTCACCAGAGCAAAAAGTGAAACGCAATAGCCATTAACTGTTAAAAAGTCCTAGGCGTGAGGCAACTCCATTCACTTCCGAAAATGAAGAATGAGCTTAAGCAGTTGGTTCCAAACTGGTGGGGTCACGTGGCCCTGGGGGAGGGCGCAGGCTGTGCAAGGGATACCGTGCAGGACCATTTTTTGGATGTGTGTGGGAAACGTCGGCGCCACACTGCGGCAACAAAACACACTCCTACACAACAGAAAACAAGTGCCTTACGAACACAAAACACACTGACACACAACATGAAACTAATTCCTGAGTAGCACAAAAATACGTGTACACAGCATGAAACAAATGCCTTTATAACACTGCATTGGCATGGACGTGTGATCGGTTTGTATTGTAGCCTGAGTAACCTTAGTTGTATTTGGTAACTTATGTGGGCAGCGGGGCACGGGGTCTAATCAACTTAATTGGGGGGCCTCCATAACAAAATCTAGGGGAAGATGCTTTAGGGCATGCGTCTCACTTTTACATTGGTTGACCCTGCCAAACAGGGTTCTCCTTGTGAATGGAGGAGCCCTAAAGCTTCTTCCCCTAGATTTTGTTATCGAAGGAACCTAGTTGTGAATGGAGGAGGAGGCCGAGTGGTTGGCCACAGGCTTCATAGCTGCATTAAATGGACCGTTAATGTTGAGACTTGGGGATATGAAGGGAGCTCGCTTGGGGGCTTTGCCAGGTAGGACCCCTGGGAAGGGCGTTCATTTGCGTATGCTCCGACACTTGTATGTATGTTGAACTTCTTTCGCACCGTTCATATTCAATTGTGCTAATCCAAGGTGCGGGGAAGGACAACAAACTAGACACAAAAAGCAGTTCTAAAGAAATGAGATTTCAATCTAGATTTTTGCATCGGCTATAGAGGTCAACGCAGCGATGTCCATTTCTTGAAAGACACTTCAGGAAGAAGGCTTCATTGCAGGGATATAGATATGCAGAGTATTTGGCTGCTATACATTTTCACATGATAAGCCACTTCGTTGAGCTGTCATTTGTGGCCAGGTCGTTTCTGAGAGAAGAGCTTTATACCTCAGTGGGCCTTTCCTGGTAAAATAAAAATAGTATATTTTTAGTTTATAAACGTGCATTGCCTGCTGGATTCAGGGCATTAAATAGGAAGTATATTACGTATATTACAATTATATGATTTAAAAAAATGTCAACATCTGTTATTATTTGGGGTAATAGACCATTTGGGTTAACCGTTTGTTAAATACTTTCAATTGTACGTGAATTGAAGATTCCTGACACGAATGGGTTGTTTGACGTTTCAGGGAATTGCAGCCCCGTCCCGTCGAACGATTGTCGCTTGCCAAGCGGTGTCCCAGTTTCCTGTGCAGTCATGGCAGGCGCCTGGAATACGACCACGTGTCGAAACCCCGCACCACCAACAAAAACACCAATCACAACAACACCTTGCCCATCCCAGCCCTGCGACATCCTCAAGAGCAGGTGTGTGTACATATATATTGTCTTAATTGCTGAGTCAAAGCACACACGATTATGATTTCAGTAATATATAACGCATTGTGAGGGTGCTCTACAACAGGTCAGAACCCATTGAGATCGGTTACACAATCCAGAGTGGGTGGGGCACAAGCCCTCTGTTTTTACCAGTTACGTATGAATGGTGGGGCAATTTGCTACGATGATAAATTAGATTATGATTATTAATGTGATGATGATGATAATCTAGGTCAACTCCTTGCATATATAAGGCCATATTGGCATAAACAATTTTCATGTATTAACTGTGGCAACATTTTTTGCGTAATGAAAACAAAAATGAAACAAGTACTGAGTCTTCGATAACGCCTTTGTAAATTAGGGAGAAGACTGCCACATTTTCAAATTTTACGCAATGGGTTTTTTGTTTGAGCTTTATTTGCGAACCAGCCTGCTGCTTAATCGCTGATGCCACAGTCTTTCAATATGGGGGAAAATTATGATGGTCCAATGTGTCAGCATTTTGAAACACGTGAACATATTTTATTCTTATCGATAAAAGGATAGTTATTGTTTTAGACTGTCCTAATAGCTGTTTTGGTACAGTGTCTTCATCTGAAACCTGATTGCTTTAAATGTAAGAGAGTCATTTTAACACGTAGGCTTTCGCGACTAATGTCATCCATAATGCAGTTTTTTTTGGGTTAGATCGCGTAAATATATAAATGTGTCATTAAAGCCGCCACCACCCGACACAGCCAATTAGTAAGTTTGATCTCGTAAACAACATGCCAACTCGCTACTAGTACAGCACACTGGTGTGTTGGAGACCAAAGCCACAACATTTACAATCTGAGTACGACGTTTCGCCAGCAAGTTGTAATTACGAGTTTAACGACACATTTATATATTTACGTGATCTAACTCAAAAACCTGTATTATGGATGTAAGAGAGTATTTTCCACCAAATGAGGATCAAGTTTTTAGTTTTACTAAAACAGGTTTAGTAATGATACATGCAACGCGTGCTTTCTAGACAGCAAGAAGCACGAGTGTGACCAAAGTATAGGTCCTCCCATCATGCCTGGAATGTCACGTGACATCAACATACTAGGTGCACAATCCCTCCAGTTTTGTTTTAGATCTCCATCTCAAAAATGTAAAATATATATTTTGTGTATATTAAATATTCTGACTCTTGTTGCCAACCTGTACACTTAGAATTGATTTAGTTTATTCAGTGTTTTTGACAATATACATAAATAGTACATCGGCACCTGTGTAGAGTACCAGTTTCACCTTTCATAGGGGTCACAGTCATCACCATAATTAGTCTGACCATGCTGCCCATAGTTCTACATGGTTCTTGCTTCACTCTTATTTCAAGTGCCTTAATAGGTGCTTGCTGACAGCACTCACCACAACACTTACCCCAGCAGCCTACCCGAGGATAAACTTATGGATTTATGCCTTTGCGTGTGCAGTTTGTTCGCCGATTGCAACAAAATATTGTCCCCGGACATCTATTATGATTCTTGCGTCTTTGACAAGTGCGCACAAAATACGAGCAATGCTGCATGTGCCAGTATCAAGGCCTACTCCAAGGAATGTGAAAAATTCGGCTTTTGCATTCCATGGAGGGAAAACACAAATGGGACATGCGGTAAGTACCCTTCCAGTGAAGTGTTTTTTTCCGTACATTTAAAAGTAAAAAGATCCAGCCATTATCCATCCAACAAGTGGATGTCATGCATAAGGATTTTGTGACTGTACTTCACCACCCTAGTTTGTCAGGGTTGGTGAAGAGAGGGGGTTAGGACTGGTTCTGACATCACTCGCCATGGCTGGGAATCAAACTCAGCTCGCCTTGTTAATAATGCAGTGTCCTTTGCTACCTCTGCACACCGAAGGAGGAATATTTACTGGGTGGTAAATACAGTTCACCAACTCGCACTCACTCGTGTGGTGCAGTATAATGGGTGTGGTGAAGCTATATCAGCTATAAATATCTACATATCTTTAGTACGTCACGATTGTGTGTTGTTACAGTGTACTGTAATATTCTGTATGTTTTTGTTTACAGATATCACTTGTCCAGAAGGAAGAGTTTACCATCAGTGCAGTACAACCTTTGATAAAAGCTGCAATTTGAAGTAAGATGTATTAAAATTGTAATGTGTGAATTTTATTGATATCGGGATTTAAGTACTGTATTCTTGTCTGTCTATGAAGTCAAAAGAAAACAGGGAGATCGACACATCAGTCTCATGGTTTTCTTGGGCCCAAGAACAACTAAGTCAGGGCCCTACCTCTGGTTCCTATCACTCTGTGAGCCACTCGTGTTTTTTGGGCTCAGCCACGCAACTGCCCCCTACCCCCCACCTAATCACGGCAGGTGAAAATATTCCTTATGGGGTGGGTGGGCTGAAATATATTTTTCATGAAATGTTTTAATGAATTAAATGTGTTTTCAAAGTTTCTGTTAAAAAACAAGAGAGCACAATTTTGTCAGCTGGGCGACCCGGGGCTGTGGCTATATAAGTGGCCTGTAATCCTTCCCATGGGCGTCGAGGAGGCGCTTATACCCTGGCTCACCCGGAGAAGGCGACACAGCATAATGTGGGACTCCCATCTGTTCCATTCGTATAGGATAGAGCGTCGGCCCCCTCGCACCCATGTGTTTTCTGTGGGCGCTACAGTTTCCTCCGACATGTAAATAATCACATAATTACCCGATACAATCTTCATATTTAGACGACTGCAGAGCTTGGGAAATTGTTGGTGCCGGCCCCACCGCTTGGCTGCCTTCCCACTTGTCTGTGGTTCGTCCTTCCGAGTTGTTGTCTCTCTCTTTGTGAAGTGAGCAACAACTGTGCAGGTTTCTAGTAAAAATGTTTTAGATTATTAACAGAGCACTAGAAGACTGACACGCAAGGAGACCAGTTCACCAATTGCTACCACGTGCTCTGCTCTTATCATCATGACCATTATGCAGACAATACTGTATGAACTATTACAGCAGTTTCCTAACTGCTGTATTTTTCCATGAACTATTCGCAGAGACATCCCAGACATCAACATCAGCAACAGAACATATGAGGGATGCTTCTGCCCAGAAGGAGAGTTTCTCTTCACCTCTACAGACCCCTCAATGAAGGAGTCTTTATGCGTATCAGACTGTGGTACGTAGACAGTGACTACCTCAACACGTGACAAGAGCAGGCTGCTGAATTTCCAGTTTTTAATGCTTAATATATTTTGATGAATTGGTGTGTTATTATGATTATTATGGTGATAAGGGTGATGCAAATGGCAGTGCCATGATAATTGTTTAAACATTTTTAATCAACTGCTGAATTTGTGTTTCAGGCTGTGCTGGATCCAATGGTGAACGTAAAAAGGTAAAACTTGGGTCACTCGACGCTACACGTGTCACTGAATCTAATATTTGTATACACAGTTGCCAATCGAGAGTAATTGAATGAGGGAGTGAGTGGTGTCAATTTTGACCTAATCAAAAGGGGCTAAAAAGGCGAAATTTTTCTCTTTGCTGAAAACAAAAACATTCCAAAATTTCTTATTGAAACAGGGCAACATTTTTTAATGTAATTTTTACCCTAGGCTATGCTTGATTGCATCTGGAGGTTTTTAAGAGTGCTGAATACAATCTAATTTTGAAATCGGTAACACGCAAAAAAAAATTTTCAATCTAGGTAACCAGGTCCTATCTAAACCAGATCTTGTTTCTTTTATTCTTTAATTCTGCTGATATCTACTCTGCCCTTCACAGTGATCTCTCTGATGGGTTGCTTACTGCTGTCAATAAGGAGAAGCATGCAGTGGCCTAAGTTTGTGTTTAAGGCGTTTACAAATCACCACCAATAATATCTAGGCAAAGGCCTCCCCCATATTCTTCTCTTCCTTGCTTTCCTTGTTTGTTCCCGTCCAGGAGTGGCCTCTGAACTCTCTTATTTTGATTCGACCTCTCCAACAAACCCCCATGAATTAAGACTACTTCAAAATTATTGTGTCATGTTCCAAAAAGAAATAGCAAATTTGGAAAGCTTCCGTCAGTCGTGACACTCCTTACACGTGGAACACTGCAGCTGATTTAAAATTGAAAAACCTTTTCAGTTTGTAAAGATCTGTTAGATTCACTGGGAGCAGTGGCACAGTCATCTATGTACCATGCTACGAACCCACGGCTAACATCAGTGGCGAATGATATCAGAACTGGTTCAGGGCATGATATTTTAACCACCTGCACTGACCAGTGTGATGATGGGTAAAGAACCCCCATGACTCGTACCAATTGGAGAGGCCTTAATTCATCAGTGGATTGACAAAGCGTCTGTGAAATCTAACATTGTATTCACTACTCTGACGATAGTGTATTTGAGCGATACCTCACTTATGTATAACTGTGTTTAAATGTTAAATTATATTTAATCTCCCATATGATTTAGTTTATGTTGTTTTGGTCCTGCATTGCACTTTTATGCTCGATCTCCCTTGAAAAAGAGACTTTTGGTCTCAATGGGTTCTCACGAGCTGTTATATAAAGATCACTTGACATAAAATGTAATTGACAAATAAAAGTTGAAGCTACACCACCGTGGTCAGTTCAGTGTTGTGGTGACATTCGACTATTGGCGGCCCTGAGCCTGTAGTGGAAATTCCATATTGCCATGACAAAGGGGCCATCCTCCTCTCAGAAAGACGACTGTTAAATTGGTTGGGACAGGCACAACTCACGCTGCCCCTTCCACCTCTCTCCTCACACAGCTAAACGAAGTGTGGGACAGCGACTGCAACGTTTGCGAGTGTAACGCCGGGACACGCTCCGTGGTTTGCAAACCACGTGCGTGCCCGCCCTTGGGGTACAATAATTGCGCTGAGCCCGGCTGGGCGATCAGAAACCCCAGCGACGCCTGCTGCCCCGAGTGCAGTAAGTGCATGCGTGCTTGTGTGTGGTGACGTGGCCGAGCGGAAGCGCGTTTACTGCTTGTTGCAGAGCTTTGTGGTTCGAGCCCCGTGGCTGCCCTGATTAATACTGCGGGTGTATTCATAAAAAATACAAACTGTTTGCGTTACAGTGGACATTAAAGATCTCATGACTATTCGAAAAATATTAGGCCATGTGTGCCAATGTCTTGGTCCAAATGTGATAAATTACTGTAATTGGAAATTATTTCATTGGGAAGACAAATAGCAACATTGCCACTTAATGGCAGACCAACACACACTTGCAGGCCAGTTCTGCATTCACCTTGTGCCAAGCAGGGACAACTGCCATTGGGGGTCCCCTGCCGCAAGGCGCCTTGAGATGTACCGCATGAAGGCACAGTATAAATATGAAATGACGATACATATATGCGTGCACACACATAAGCTTGCGTACGTGTGCGTGCATGCTTGTATTTGTGTGTACTTATCTTTGTACAATGTGCTGCAGATACTTCTGTCCACATAAGTATGAAATAAATTCAGTGGAGAGATGCCATAGATAACAGGGTGGGTTTTCCGTGGGGGGCTGAAGTCTTCTCTAACCCTGCCAGTATGCCAAGTGGGGAGCAATATTGATCCTGCCTATGCAAGTGTGTGATTTGTTTTAACTTCCTTAAGGAAATCTGCATCTCATTGTTTAAATGTGTTTTATTTGCTTGTTTCAGTGCGGGTGTGCCTTTACGATGGAATAAGATACCCGGTAAGAGTTGTCACTGCCTTCATTGACGATCTGCCTGTGTGTGACAGTGTGTGTCTTTGTCTTTGGCCGTGCCCGACCTTAATATATCCTTGCGAACAGCACTTGCCCTAACAGGCTATGTGGGAGATATTTGTACGGAAAAATAGTCTGATTAATACCGACTGTGTTTTAACAAAAAAAAAAGTGTGCCGTCAATGGCCGTAGATGCCATGATATATTTTGCAAGAGTAGGCTATTGTGTGTCAACGTCGTGGTCCAAATTTGCCAAAGTTGAAAAATGATCCACAAATTACACAACGGGGGTTAAACATATCAAGTACCTCCCCCCCTCCATGGGCAGACCACAAAGTTTGGGAAATTGTTGGTGGCGGTTTCAGGCTTCCTTACAAATATTGTGTGCGGTTTCTCCATAGGTCAGCGCCAAAGTGCCTTCGATGGATTGCTCCACTTGTGAGTGCACGAATGAGACCGATGATGCAACAAAGTTTAACAAGATCACGTGCGAGAAGATAATCTGTAATCAGACTTGTCAAACGGTGAGATCGACCGCACACCTGTTTCACTCTGTCTGCATGCACCCTCCTGGATTTTCTCCACACTGGAATAAAATAGAGTAAAGATTTAGCCAAATATCCTAATGAAGGACCAACCCTGTTGTAGCCTGACTTACTGTTAGTAGCTCAGCTTATTGGAGAGTATATTGAGTATATTAATGATATTGATGTAGGTTATATTTTAGATTTTTACGTGGTGGTTTGGCTGCTGCAGCTCCTTACTATAAGATTTCCCTCCCTTTATTACTGCTAATCCTACTTCCTCCCTTTATTATTGCTAATCCTACATAATACACTAGCATAATATGACTTTGAGACCCCCCACCACCTACACATTCCACAAGTAGTGACTAATCCCATATCTGCATTTTCCATAAATATGCTAAATTCATCTGTTGATATGTAAACTCCTTTGTCAAGGCGCTCTCCTCCTCTAACCCAGCTTAAATATACGCTGCCAAGCTTGGCGGTGTTCATTGGGACCCTGTCTTTCCGACAGCGCTGTTCTTCACCTGAGGACGGCTGCTTGCGTTGTGGCCGAAACGTCGTGAGAATTGTATTTTATTATGTTAAATTCTTATTATTTTATTATTTCCCTTCTACGTGACTTTACCGAAAGAACCAAGAAGATGAATCCCTGCAGTCACGAAAGCTTTAAATCGAGAGTTAATTTTATTTTTCAATATCCATGTTTGTGAGAAACATGTTATAGAAGGTAACAACCCCATTTAAACAGAATTCACCACGAAAAGTAATCTTTATGCCTTTCAATGTCTCTGTCTCAAATCCTGCAGGGATATGAGTACGTGGACCAACAGGGGGCGTGCTGCGAGTGCAGGAAGATAAACTGTACCTTTAACATGTCTGGAAGAGTAATCTTGCTACAGGTAAAGTGTCCATACAACACTTAGTGCAGACTCGATACTTACCGTGTAATAGCAGTGCCTAAACGCCATGTATACACACACACTCGTTTGAGGTGGCTGAGTGATGTAATATAACCGTGGGTTATCTGACCCTTTTTGTCTGTCAGGATCATTCCAAGCACGCATTTCTATCTGCATCTTTGCACAATTTTCAGCTGGCATCGAATTCAGATTTCGACTATCTGTGATTAAACCAAATTATGAAGAGTAATTATGTCAACACGTTTACTAATTACTGATCAGTAACCCACGTTATATTATGTATGTGTGTATGTAACGGAGTGCTACATACCGAGTGGAAGTGATCTGTTGATAAAGATCACTCCTAATGGTGGCAACATCTGCAATTCCATAATATTGTTTTACTTGGTTTGTTATTTTCCAAGTGAGCAAGCATGGGCATAGTTAAAGTTGTTAATCATGACATGATTTGTGTTGATGTAGCCTGGAGAGACTGTGCAAGACCCTCAAGACAACTGCACGACTCTGCATTGTGATTCTATCAATGGAGGGCCAATTGAGAGCACACAAACCATTCAGTGCTCCCAGAATTTCAACTCTGACTACTGCCTGCCGGTAACAGCACACAGCAGCACTTTAAGGACACCGTGTTAAGAACTGTGTTGTGGGGAGGTGGCCTAGTGGCTCAAGAGGTCAGAGCGATGAGCTGGCACTGTCGAGAACCTGACTTTGAATCCGGGCTTGTGATTAAACCGGCATCTCAAGTGCAGTGAATTGATGGGCTCAGCCCAGTCGTCGATCACCACGCACACATATCATCGCGTTAATGTTCTGCAAAATCCAGCTGAGAATGAAAAATGTTGCACACTCAAAATCAAGGACGTGGGCAGGTTCTCCAAATCGAGGTCAAACACATCTATTGTTATAATCTGTAAAATGCAACAGCACGTGTGTCACATACACAGCAATTCTAAACCGAGTTGCCATTAATGCCGTGACTGGTGTCCAGGTCAGGTTACTTAATAATACTTTCCCTTAAACCCAATTCCACTACTGATCAACCATCTTTGTCTTTCATCATAACCTTTCCACTTTTCTATTCGAATATTACTTTAATCCTAAGCTGTATGTCTATCTATACCATCCACGTATATTGGGATGTTACACCCATTATCTGTACTGTATACGTACTGTACTTGTCACCATTGTACAACTTATTACTGTATGTGTCCTATTCTTATTAGCATTCCAAGTTGTCATACTCTGGGTGCATGGGCATGGCTATAGAATAAACAGTATCAAGGTTAGGGAATTAACAGTATTAAATACAGTACGTCATCCTTTACAGTGTAGTGCTAAACCCCCTCCTATTGAATATATCACAAACTACCAATTCAAAGCCAAGCTTAAAGAGTAGAACATTTATATAACTATCAAAAACAACATTTGGGTCCTTTACCTGTGAAATGCAACAGGGCGTGTGTCACACAGCAATCCTCAACCGAGTCGCCATTAACCACGTGACTGGTGTACAGGTCAGGTTACTCAATAACCCTGCAAGCCACCTACAGGCCCGACTCAGTATCACATGCTGGTGGACACACGTGCATTGATGTACTGCTGCACAGCACATAAGGGACCTTCACAAAACCACACTTTACTCCATTGCTGCACGAGGAAATAATTAAAAGAGTGGTTCATTTGCCACAAAAATGTAGGTTGGACTGGCATGTGACAAACATAACAGCATGGTAGCTGGGAAAGTGCTGCCCCCTGCTGTGTGAACCAGAGGTCACTTTTAAGTGATCTCCGAGTTTGCTCTGTGATATCCACTATTGTGGGCCGTTCTCGAACACAAAGAGGTCAGAATGCATACTTCGTATCATCACGTATCTGTGTATTTTAATCAAATCAAGTTTCTCACGCACGTGGGCCAGGATAAGCAGAATATTGAAACTAAGCCTTAGGGTTCCTCCTGATACTTGTCCCGAATGGGTTCCTTAAACATGAATAGACTGACACACCAGAATCTGATGGGGTCAGTAAACGAGGATGAAGATTTGTATATACATGGCACTTAAATGCACCAACACATCAAAGTACATTACATCACAATGATTCCAATCTCCAGAAGACACAGTACTGGCCTGCAAGTCGACATTAGTTGGTCAGTAGGGGGCGATGTTGCTAATAGTTATTCAAATTATTTTACAATAAGAAACTGGTGTCTGCTGGGATCTTTGGGCATTTGGTTTATGCCTATTATAACACATCAATAGAATATATATGTACGACTATCAAGTCCTGTCAATAAAAGTGTGCTGAAAATATATGCAATGTGATTTTTTTTCTCGTTTAGGGAACGATCATGCTGGATGAAGCAAAATGCTGTAAAACCTGTAAGTGAACAGAAGTAAATGACTTGTAAAAATGAACGAGAGATTATTTTATAATGCGTGTTCTTAATGAACCGACCATTAGAGCAAGTGGCTCACAATTGCGGAGGTTACGAGTTCCAATCAACAATGATTGTCCGATCGCTCTATGGATACTTGCCCGTCATAGGAATGTGGAATCTCCACCACCGCCTCAGAGCTGTACACACGAGATGAGCACCACCCCCATTCTCTTTTGAGCAGGAAATCATTTTTACTTTTTTGACTTTGCTCCTCATTGAGTCAATTCAATGGACATTTGACGATCTCCCCTCCTACGAAGTTTATTTTAAAAATGTCATTATTGTGAGTCATATTTCAATTGACATGTTTTTATGGATATATAATTTGGATGAATTGTAAATCAATTCTTAAACACACAACATAGTGCATTTTTTTTTATAAATATCAGAATTCTGTTTGAGGCATTTGTGAATTGCAATACCTCCGATTATCACGGTTGGCTACGTACGGTGCGAAAGAAGTTCAACATACGCACATGCGTTACCCCTGATCAAATCACCCAGAAAGCACCCGGTCCCATCAGATTTCGGAAGCTAAGCAGGGTTGAGCCTTGGTAGTACTTGGATAAGTGACCAGCGTGCATAACAGGCGTTATAGATGCACGGCAAGGCTATGTTGCGGGCAGTGCGACGTGATTAGTTGCCACCCCTGAGTTGAGGTATTACTCACGGAGGCTGTGAGTTGTGAGGCAACCTCGGAGACTCTGCCACGTAGTCATTCTCTGCCAGTGTCAGAGCCTCAACTCCACACTTCATATTCTCCTGCACCTCAACAGTGACTGTCCTGTTAAGGACCTGGCTCTTGCCTCAGGAATGTGGAAGGGCTTTGACCCACACATAGCAAACAATGCAAATTGCTAATGTTTCACTGTATTATCAACAAAAATCACAGTGGTGTCCATATGATATTTTATTGTACCTTATTTCAATAGTTTGATTTGTGTTAATATTTTTTCTGTCCTCAGGTAATATGTCACAAGGCGGTTGCCGACTGTTCAACTCGTCCAAGTACATCTTCTACGACGCGTGCAGCAGTGTGGAACCCGTGGAGGTGGTGTCTTGCGAAGGCTCCTGCCCCACCTACTCCATGTACGTTCGGAGTCTCTGAGCAAATTCTTTTGAATATTTATTTTGTAAAGGGATTTGAATTGCAATGGACTGAGTTGAAAACTGTGCGTGTTGAGTTTAGAAAGCCTTTTGATGGCATCTAGGATCGCCAGATGGATTACATTTGTATCTCCTGCAAAAGCGTGTGTGGGGGGAAAAATTGGTGATTTGAATGATGGATCGCACTACGCTACAGTTACAATCCCATAGAGACCCATAGACCCACAGAGACCTATAGACTCCCATAAGAGGCCCATAGACGACTATAGAGACCTATTCTTTACAAATTGATGTTAGTCATGGACCGCACCTTACTGCAGTCACAGTTATGCTTATTGACCACTCGAGGAGGCAGCCGCACCTCTCATTCGTAGTTAGAACACAGCTAAACGGAGTCCGGTATTAATTCTAGATTTGAAGTTTTCGTGACTGCAATGATTCATACTCTTTGGTTTTTTCAGTAAAGTCACGTAGGTAAAAAATAAATTAAATCACGACGTTTCGGAGGCAACACAAGCCCCCGTCCGGTATCTTTAAAGCAAGAAGCGATACGTAGCGAACCGTGAAATAACAGTGAGCTTGGTGACCCTGGTGTGTCCAGGTACTCGGAGCAAGGAAACAGCGTCAACCACACATGCAAGTGCTGCAGAGACATGAAGACTCGCCCACGGAGTACAAGCTTCCTCTGCTCCAACGGAACGCGGTTCGATGCCACGTACACCTTCATCGAGGAGTGCGGCTGTAAGGAGTTCGCCTGCGATCGCAGCGCGCGCAGCATCGCTGACGACTTGGGCCTCGATTACCCTCACAGGAACCACCTGGTGCGCAAGAGAGCGCTGAGGGCACAGGCGAATCCGTGAGTCGAGGCTAGGGAAACGTGAGGGCGGTCATGAGCGCGGGTGCAGTAGTGACCGGGGGATTCTCAATTAACCGCGATAAACTGGTGGGGAAGCCTATGTTCAGATAAACACAACTGAGGAATTATGAAATGTTAATTAAAATAAACTAGCAGCGTCGTATTTAATGAAGGGTTTTTTTTGTTGTTGAGACCATACTGACCATATCATCATCACCCAAGCACTACCAATCCTAATGTGTGTACATGAACAGCCGTTTTGTCAATCCACTGCTGGATGATGGCCTTCCAATGGTGTGCGGTTGTTGGCAGTTACTATATTTGAAGGTGGGGAGTGTAGACGTGGGGACATAGAAGTGCAGTACAACAACCTGCTGTGCATGGTGATCATGAAGCGCTATCCAGGTTCAATGCTGCTTAGCTTCCAAGATCTGACTGGATCGTGGGCATTCTGGGTGATTTTGTCAAAGGCAGAATTAACGAACTCATATAGCACCTGTCACAACAAACCAACCCAAGGTGCTTTGCAATCAAAACAACCAAAAACTAACACTACAACGGTAAAGAAACTTTGAAGTTAAAAAGGGATTTAACAATTGTTTAAAACTGTGAATTGACTAAAAACGCAACCTCTGAACACCCTCACCATCGCCACCATCTCCACGTGTTCGCAGGGCACATCACCAACACGTAATTTGCTTTACCATCTTCAAAGGGCAGGACACATTGATGCCATTGAAGTTTCACGGTTGAATATTATCCTGGGGCAGCTATAACCAGGGATGTCCTCTCACGTTAGATGTAACCGTTTAGGTAGATCAGGCAAACCTAGTGTGAAACATTATTAGATAAGATTGGGCACGGGACAGAGCAAGAGTCATATGCCAGGCAGGGAAAAGTTTGTGCTTATAATGACCAAATAACTGCTGCATAAGGGGGATTGACTGAATGGCAGATAATTGAGAGGCTGCTTTATTGGAGGGGAATGGGAAGAAACCTTTGGGCTTTACAAATGTTTAAACTAAACTACATTTTTATTTTACCAGGTAAGGCCAGAAATGCCACTTGCTGTGAAGTAATTATACAACTGCACGAACACTCTTTTGAGCTAAGCCATAATTTTTCAAGCACAAGATTGACTTCAAAAAGATTTACGCATACACGTGGAATTTTGGGATTCTTTGTTCTCCTACTAGTAAGCATTTAACGATGCAGCCTTTCATCTTTTCTTACCCTTATGATACTTGAAACGAATGCTATGTGAGCATCCTTGTAACTTATGAAAATGATATGCAATTCGTATCTTAATTTTGCATGTAAACTGTTGGAGCAGACAAACTTGGACAAAGACGACACCAAACAAGACTGGAATGGACGGGACAAAGTCTAAATTATCAAATCATAACTCCACCCAGAATCCTTGACAATTTTGAAACTCTGGGGGTGCATCGTTCAATGCCTGAGATGCCAGACGGGTTGGTGGGTTACACGTGTGTTGTATAAGTGCTCTATGTCAAATCCAAAGTGATCTATTGGATTGCATAGAGCGCACAGGTATGAGAGGTATGAACTTAACAGCAGATGTTTTCTGGTATATCATGACTTTTGTAAATGTGAAACATTTCCTGGATTTAATGTTTCTTCTTATGATTGATTCGCTTTTCTTTGTATTCGACACACTGTGATTGAAACTCATAAAAATAAATACGTTGCAAAATGGTAGTGCATGTAAGAGGGTTCTTCTGTTCATTATGTGAACACCTACCGACTTGTGCGTGTTCTGTATCTCACCAAAAATAAATAACTGCAATCTCGGCATCTGCATTTATTCGTTTTTATTCAAAGAATACTACTTTGAAAAAAAGTGTGAAACACAAGGTCGGCAAATGATTGAAGCTGTTGGACCAACGTTCCGGGTTGCAGATGCAAGCTCACCCCGATTGGCCGGCAATGCAATCCTATGCCCCCAATAACTCTTTGTTGCACGTTCGAAATGAAGATATGAGGGGCTGCAGATCGATGGCAAGACATTCATTTTGAATATCTGTACAATGCAACAATATGTTCACATCGAGCAGGTCTGCATGAGGCATCTATTGTCCATGCAGCTAGTGCGGACATCAGGTTATTCAAGTGTAACAGTCCCCCATAACCGTGGCCACAACATCGGTATTCCCTATCCCCTACACACTGATGTGAATCTCTGCGCCTAGTTGACCGGGATTAACCCCGAGGTATGAACAAAGGGGATTGGTGTCTGGAGATGAGGTGACATGGTCCAAGGTATTCAATAAAGGGGTTTTTGGTGGCTGGGATTGAGACAAGGGATGCGGGGAGGGGGGGAATGGAATGAAGAAGAGGCCGTGGGGATAAGAGTGGACGTCAGCATGAGTGATGGGAGGTGGAGAGAGAGCTGTGACTGAAGTGCAGAGCTGTTGGTGAAGGAGGGAGCTTTGTAGAGAAAGAATAAAATGACTGGAAGCCTTACCTGTGTAATAAAGGACTCTGTGAGGCGATGTTGTTCTCCGTCCTTTATTTGGGTTCTTCTCCGCCCCCCCCCCCGGTCTCCACGGACCAGCGTCGTCTTCTCTCGCGTGCCACGCACGCTCCTCTCGCGGCCCTATCTCACAATACTCGCAATTTGCTTTGAACACACACGCAATCTCGTGTGCATGAACACCCATACAATCAAAATTCTTGGGTCCCCCACGAATTGACCAATTTCCGAACAGGTACGCACAACTAATAACAATCCCGAACCCAATGGTCAAACAATGCACGCACTCCGTATTCGTACAGAAAACCAGTCTACAGAGTACATGCAGTCAGCATATCGCGATTACAAGCGTACATTATTCACAATCGCAAGCAGATCTGCAGGCAGACAACACACTGTTAACCCTGCCGCACCTTGCAGCAAAACAGCTGCTCAGCAGCAGGATGCACACCACGTGGCGCCTCCGAGATGGCAGCGCATGGCCGCCTCCTCGCCGGGATGATCAAGATGGCGGCTTCCCACGGTGGAGGCGACAAGATGGCGGCTTCCCGCGGTGGAGGCGACAAGATGGCGGCTTCCTGCGGTGGCGCGACAAGATGGCGGCTTCCCACGGTGGAGGCGACAAGATGGCGGCTTCCCGCGGTGGAGGCGACAATACGGCGGCTTCCCGCGGTGGAGGCGACAAGATGGCGGCTTCCCGCGGTGGAGGCGACAAGATGGCGGCTTCCCACGGTGGAGGCGACAAGATGGCGGCTTCCCGCGGTGGAGGCGACAAGATGGCGGCTTCCCGCGGTGGAGGCGACAAGATGGCGGCTTCCCGCGGTGGAGGCGACAAGATGGCGGCTTCCCACGGTGGAGGCGACAAGATGGCGGCTTCCCGCGGTGGAGGCGACAAGATGGCGGCTTCCCGCGGTGGAGGCGACAAGATGGCGGCTTCCCGCGGTGGAGGCGACAAGATGGCGGCTTCCCGCGGTGGAGGCGACAAGATGGCGGCTTCCCGCGGTGGAGGCGACAAGATGGCGGCTTCCCGCGGTGGCGGCGACAAGATGGCGGCTTCCCGCGGTGGAGGCGACAAGATGGCGGCTTCCCGCGGTGGCGGCGACCAGATGGCGGCTTCCCGCGGTGGAGGCGACAAGATGGCGGCTTCCCGCGGTGGAGGCGACCAGATGGCGGCTTCCCGCGGTGGAGGCGACAAGATGGCGGCTTCCCGCGGTGGAGGCGACAAGATGGCGGCTTCCCGCGGTGGCGGCGACAAGATGGCGGCTTCCCGCGGTGGCGGCGACAAGATGGCGGCTTCCCGCGGTGGCGGCGACAAGATGGCGGCTTCCCGCGGTGGCGGCGACAAGATGGCGGCTTCCTGCGGTGGAGGCGACAAGATGGCGGCTTCCCGCGGTGGAGGCGACAAGATGGCGGCTTCCCGCGGTGGAGGCGACAAGATGGCGGCTTCCCGCGGTGGAGGCGACAAGATGGCGGCCTCCCGCGGTGGAGGCGACAAGATGGCGGCTCCCTGCGGTGGAGGCGACAAGATGGCGGCTTCCCGCGGTGGTGGCGACAAGATGGCGGCTTCCCGCGGTGGAGGCGACAAGATGGCGGCTTCCCGCGGTGGAGGCGACAAGATGGCGGCTTCCCGCGGTGGAGGCGACAAGATGGCGGCTTCCCGCGGTGGAGGCGACAAGATGGCGGCTTCCTGCGGTGGAGGCGACAAGATGGCGGCTCCCTGCGGTGGAGGCGACAAGATGGCGGCTCCCTGCGGTGGAGGCGACAAGATGGCGGCTTCCCGCGGTGGAGGCGACAAGATGGCGGCTTCCCGCGGTGGAGGCGACAAGATGGCGGCTTCCTGCGGTGGAGGCGACAAGATGGCGGCTTCCTGCGGTGGAGGCGACAAGATGGCGGCTCCCTGCGGTGGAGGCGACAAGATGGCGGCTTCCTGCGGTGGAGGCGACAAGATGGCGGCTTCCCGCGGTGGAGGCGACAAGATGGCGGCTTCCCGCGGTGGAGGCGACAAGATGGCGGCTTCCCACGGTGGAGGCGACAAGATGGCGACTTCCCGCCGTTCGTCCCCAGGCTCCCCTCTATAACCTCTCTCCCACGTGACCCTGACTCCTCCCTTTCGGATCGTCAGATCCGGCCTTCCCATACTGCCCTGCTGGCTCCACCTCCATTCCCCTCACTTCCCATTGGATCCGGGGGTGAACGGCGGCCCCTCTGACACGCCCCCCATACCGGGCTCCGCCCCCAATAGCCCGGGTCATGTGATTGGGCCAGAGTCCAGCAGCGACCCCATTCACGCTCGCATTGCACCTGTTCCCACGTGTTGGCGAGGAGAATGCACGCCGCACAAGCACAGTAATACCTCGATATGTATATACAGTATTTGTTAAACGAGGTTTCGGTATAACGAACTTTGGATTTATTACCATTATTTTACACAGATGCTAAGTTATAGTTCAACAAACATGGGATGTTTTACCAATATGTTACACACAAAGCTAAAACTCTAGTCAATACACTGAAATGAATAAGTTATATGCCCGACTGTGAGGGCGGGCACAAGCCGGCGTGAGTAGGTTAAACGTTGAGTTTTATAAGGGCACCACGGGGTGACCAGCCCCTCCCCACCCAGCCCCACCCCACCCTCCCCACCCAGCCCCTCCCCACCCAGCCCCTCCCCACCCAGCCCCACCCCTCCCACGCCCCACCCAGCCCCTCCCCACCCAGCCCCACCCTCCCCACCCAGCCCCTCCCTGCATGACGGACGGACACAATAATCCCCTGTGGGCTGGTGTAACCAGGAGGTTCCTACCAGTATAATATATAATATGGGGTCAAGCACAGTCCACGATAACACGTGATATACATGCGCCAGCTGAACAAAGACTGAGGTGCGTGGGTAGCATCCAGAAGCATACAGCAGCATCCCAGCTTGCATGATGCTACGCCGAGACAGCCGCACGACCGCTTAGTTCTAATAGCGTCACCTCGTTCTGTTCACCCAATCGCATTATATCCAATTCGCCTCTGCGTTCTAAAAATATAGTGTTACCTAATACATCATAGCATTACAGCAAAATTCGCGTTATGAAAACACGCGTTATAGGAGAACACACTGTGTATGTTGAACTTCTTTCAAACCATATTCTTGGTTCTTTCGGTAAAGTCACGTAGAAGGGAAATAATAAAATAATAAAATAAAACAATAAAATCCTCACGACGTTTCGATTGCAACACAAGCAATCATCATCAGGTGTGAAACCCACAGCAAGAAATGTTGAAAAAAGTGTCGAAACGTCGTGAGAATTTAATAGGTTTCTATTTATTATTGTATTATTTCCCTTCTACGTGACTTTACCGAAAGAACCAAGAATATGAATCCCTGCAGTCACGAAAGCTTTAAATCGAAATTCTTTCGAACCGTACATATCCCAACCGTGCTAATCAGAGGTGCTGGGTAAGTACAACAAACTAAACACAAGAAGCAGTTCAATCACAGTGAATTGTGTGATTATCACTCGTGGTACCAATTTCTGCTCTGGCCCATTAACTGTGTCGGAGAGCAGCCCCAGAAGCAGACGTCACAGATGCAGTTCTGAAGTCACTTCAATTGACCTCCAGCCATGCTAGATGGTGCACCCTATCATATACTTTGCAAAGTGTGCGCGTTCCATGTTCAAATAAACAGATTTTTTTAAATTCTCAATCCTGGAATGTGCTCTGAATTACAAAAAATAATTTTCATGAAGATATTTTCTATTCAATCATTCAAGTCATCAACCTCGCTGCCAGATTATTCATTGGCAGCTGTAACCCAGGTTTCAACCGAGGATCTGAGTGGTTCTAATCTTAAGGATGATGGCAATCTGTTCAGGCGCTAGATGCCAATGTGTTTTGCGAGCCGTGACAAGAGGGCTTTAGGAGTCAGAGTTCGTGTAGTTTTGCTATCCTCTGTTGAAAGAGTGCAACACGACCGTGGTTTACTGTACGATCCACAGCTTTGCTTTTGCATGGCCACGATCACACTCTACCGTGGTTTGCCTTTAATTTTCCATTTCAGCCTGGTGATGCTCTGATTCAGTTGATTGTTCCACCATCTCAGCGCTCCATTATTGTTTTAAATTGTCATCATCAGTCATGATCTATCCACTGTTAGATGAAGCACTTCCCGTGCCACCACCATCTCTCACACTCCTGCGATGTTAAGAATCCACCGAGCACCCACACAAGAGCTCATTGTCCTCGTTCCATCTCCGCGGCGGGCAAACTCTCTAGGCTGCCACTCTGTTCCTATTCTTGACCGTCGGTCATCGCCGTGACGCGTCCTG